AAGACCTCAAACCATCAGGTGGATGGGGAGGGCTGCAGCTGGCGCCAGACCTTCACGGATGCGGCCGGGGGCACGCATTGGGACCACGTCTTCGTGACGGAGCTGCTCTCGAACAGCAGCTATCGCCCGGTGCACGACTACATCATGGGGGCCGAGTACGTCGCGGTGGCGCGCATTCGCCAGGCGCTGGCGGAGGTGCCCCGGCGGTACCTCAAATGCATCAAGACCGATTGTCTTGTCATGCAGGACGTCCCCAAGAAGCACCGGCCCGCCGTGGAGCGGCTGCTGAAGATGTCGCACCGGGACGGCACGCCTGTGTATCGCTACGAGGAGGTCACCGGGCTGAAGGGCCAGTATCGGGAGCCGAGCATGGAGGCGGAGCCCATCAGGGCGAAGGCGCCGTGGCGGCGGGTGGAGGACCCGGTGGTGCACTGCTTGGATGGCGAGAGCCTGCTGCTGAGCGGCTACCCGGGCACCGGCAAGACGCATTTGGCTCAGAGAGCACGGGGACACGGTGCACATTATCACGAAGACCCATGCAGCTGTGCAGAACGTGGGCCTGGGGGCGCAGACGGCGGACCACTGGGTGCGGCGCAATGTGCGGAACGGGCACTGCAGCGCAACCTGGCTGGTCATCGAAGAACTGACTCAGTTAGATACCCCCTTGTGGGCGGACATAGCTTGTCTGAGCATGAACAAGAAGATTCGGTTTCTGCTCTTGGGAGACTTTAGGCAGCTGCCCGCTGTGCTGGACAGCTTCGCAGGTGCAGAGGTGTGCAAGGAACTGAAACACAGCCAGCTGCTGCACGATCTGGCGGGGGGCTGGTGCCACGAGCTCTCGGAGCGCTGGCGCTTCGACGAGCGGATCTTCGAGTTCCTGACCTGGCTTAAAGTGGACGAGCCGGAGCAGGTGCCGCTGGTTGATGCGGTGCGGGAGGCCCGACGGCGCTTCCCGAGGCGGGGGGAGCCGGACGTGAGCCTGGTCATCTCCCACGCGAAGCGATTGCAGATCAACGAGCGGGAGAACCGCCGGCTGGCGCCCGCCGATGCTCTGGTGGTGCGGTACGAGGCCCGCGGGGCGGTGCCGACGAATGCGCCGCAGACCATGAGGGTCTGGCCGGGATTGCGCTTGATCGGCGCGGGCGGCAAGGTGCAGAAGGGCACCTTCCTGACCGTGGAAGCCGTGGAGAGGGACGTCGTGCGCCTGGAGAGTGGGCAGTGCTTCGCGGGCCCGGAGCTGCTGAAGCACACCCGGCTTTGCAGCGCGATTACCTATGCTTCGGTGCAGGGCCTGACCCTGAGAGGGAGGGTTTGGCTCTATGACGTGGAGAGCCCGCACTTCACGCTCAAGCATCTGTACATGGGGTGCTCCCGGGCCACCAATTCGGAGCTTTTGAGCGTCCTGTAGCGGCACTGCCAGCATTCGTCAGATTTGACGAGTTGCGGCAGTGGCCCGCTTTTTTGATGAAAAGGAGCGCCGTTTTGTGGCACTGTCGCAATTCACCAGATTTGGCGAATCGCGACAGTGGCCCGTGACAGTGGCCCGTTTTTGATGAAATTGAGAGTGGTTTTGTGGGGGTGTCAGCATTCGCCAAATCTGGTGAGTTGCGACAGTGGGCCGTTTTCGATGGAAGAATGGGTCGAATCCGAGCTATTGAAGCAAAGTCGGAATTCCGACCTCGCTTTTGATTGGAAAGCTGGAAAAAAAAGGGCAGCATTTCGTTCCCCACACGCCCCGACTGGGGGCGACAGATGCTGCAAAAAAACGGGCAGCATTCCGTTCCCCGACAGCCCCCCTCGGAGGGGGACTGAGAGGGTATCCCGCCCAGGCGCACAGGCCTGGCGGCAGTGGTGAGGCTTCGGAGCCGCCCCATTCCCTGGACGGCTCCCCGGTGCCTCACGGACCGGCGCGAGCTTCATCGGCGGCTGGGGGATACTGATAACCCCCCAATTGAGCCTTGAACAGTCAGGCACCGCCTCCACTCGCTGGGACCGCCGTGCCACAACCTAGAGCCTCTCCCCGCAAGCGAGGATCATCGGCCCTAGGCCCCGGCTCAGCGTGCCCCACTAGGGTAGAGTAGGTTAGGATAGTTTTTTTTTCTCTCTCTGGGGAGGGTGTTCCAGTTCTCCACTCTGTAGTAGCTACGAGGCTAGTTTCGAGACATAGCCTAGAATTCCATACTTCGAAGGCCTGTCGATTTTGCGGGCTGGAGGCTCTAGGGCTCGCGATCTTAGGGGCTCTAAAGTGCTTGCAAAACGGGCGCGCGCGGCATCGGAGGCGCTTTGAAGGCGCGCGGAGGGCTCGCGAGCTGTTTGGAGGCGCGCCGTCGTGCTCCGGAGCTGTTTGGGAGCGACGCGCGCTTACGCGCGCTCGTTCGGCGCGGAGGGCGTGGGAGCAGCTCGTAGGTCGCTCGCAAGCTGCCGTCTCCGGAGCTGTTTGGGGAGCGACGCGCTTGCGCGCGCTTGTTCGGCGCGGAGGGCGTGGGAGCAGCTCGAAAGTAGCTCGTAAGCTGCCGGCGAGTGGCGAAACTTTCGGTGAACTGTCTTGAATTTCGGTTATTTCGGTTGGCAAGAAGAAGCTCGTGCGCTGCTCGAAAGTAGCTCGTAAGCTGCCGGCGAGTGCTCGTGAGTTGCCAGCAAGTAGCTCGTGAGTTGCCGGCGAGCACTCGTCGGCTGCTGGCAAGTGGCGCGCCCTTAAAGTTCCTCTAAAGCCCGTTTTGCAAAGACTTTAGAGCCCCTAAGATCGTCGGAGCTGCGGGCCGTAGGCCCGCGAATCGACAGTGCTCCAAAGTACCGAATTCTACCCTATGTCTCGAACTGAGGCCTGTAGCTATCACAGAGTGGAGAGCTGGAACACCCTCCCCAGAGAGAGGCTGAAGCTCCGTAGTTTGGTGCTGAACGGCTACCACCGGCAAAGCCTGTGCGCCGCAGCCCTTTGTAGAGCTTCGCTTTTCTGTCTCACCGCTTTGCCAGTTTGTAGTTTGTAGATTGTAGTTTGTGTTTGCTTCGCTTGTTTGTTGGGACCGAGTGCTACAGCCGTAGTCGACGAGGCCCAGTCAAGCCAAAAAACCCATAAAACGATTTCGTGTGGCTTTTTTTTTTTCTTGTTTTGTGTGTGTGTGTGTGATTGCGTGGGAGGCTTAAAGGGGAGAGGGGAGGCTTAAGGGGGGCTTAAAGGGGGACTTAAAGGGGGGCTTAAGGGGAGCTTAAAGCGGGGCTCAAAGGGGAACTTGAAGGGGACTTAAGGAAGGCTTAAAGGGATTTAAAGGGGCTTTAAGGGGGTCTTTAAAGGCTTCGATTTGCCCCTTCCTTAGGGGAGACCTTTAAATTTCAAGGGAGCTTTGCTTAAAGGGGGGCTTCAAGGGAGACTTAAGCCCCGCTTTATCAAAGGGAACCTGGATTGGAACCAAGGTTTCAAACTCCAGATAATTCGAAACACTGCTGTGGCCGGAGAGAGGTCTTGCCGGCTTGGAGCCCAGCTTTGACCTTTTGCTTCTTGAGGAAAAAAAATTGACACAGGTCTCATCCATATAACAACCCAGAAAACCCAGTCCCTGCATTTTCTTGTTTGTTTCGGGAAAGGAGCCGAACCAGGTTCTAACTTGGGTTAAACTCTGGGACGAAGGACCAGAGTCTTATCCATGTGGCCATTACACTCGCTGCCAACGAGTTGAAAGCTGGTTTCCGTAGAACATGCAGAGAAGATCATCGCGCGTGGTTTGCCCTCTCGACAGTCAGCTGCGGGGCAATTTTAGACGCACCGGTTGGTTGGTCCGTCCGATGTCATCCCAGCCATCTTCAAAAGAAGTGAAGCGAAAATCTAATGCTGGGACAGGTGTGCGCTTGATGATGGGCAATTCCAAGCGGCGCTGCGTGAAGAATCTTGTCTGGCGGAAGCCGGTCTCGTGCGGAAGGGTTCCCCCGCCAAAAGGTTTGCCCATCAGCAACTCTTCCTGCCCACGGCAGTTTTCTTCTTGTTGCCGAGAGGCACTGGAACCAAAAAAGGGTTCCATTCTTTGCGGTTTCCAGCCACGCCGTTTGCAGCTGGCTGGGACCTGGTGGGACCTTGATTGGATCCCGCTGATGACAACTCCACACTGAAGATTCAGTGCAGCTACAAACCTTTTTGCCGTTTTTTTGCGGAGGAGCATTCATTTTACCACACAAAGAACCAGCCAGCTTGAACCCGTTGAGAAGGTGGAGATCCCAAATCCAAGCATCTTTCTGAGTCGTCGTTTGGTTGGCAAATGGAAATGCGGTTTCGAGTCGAGCACCAAAAAAATAAAGTTCGAAATTTCTTTCAGTTCTTTTTGGCAAATCGAATTTGTTTTAAAAGCTGTCGTAATTTGTCGGAATTTTGACTAAACAGCGGCTCCGGCTGAACATCTCGCTCAGCGGCAGATGCGGACTGGCAGTGGACCGCTGGTGGGGCGTTTTGAGCGCGTATACTTGGCTAGGGGGGTGCATACAGCATCTCGATCTAGATGATTTGTTTTGGAGATATGATTTGTTGATGTTTTGCCTGGCGTTTTGGGCATCAAGTGAGTTGTTCCCCACGGTCGCCAAGAGCGTCGTTGCACGTTCCGTTTCAAGCTCGCCTTCAAGCCCATCGTTGAAAGCTTTGAACTTTCGAGAAATCATTTTTCAAGGTTTTTGTGTTTCGGCAAGGACGCACCCGCATCGTGGTCAATGGTTTTCAAAGTTGTCATGAAGGCACGCACAATTTGATTTTGTGCGAGCGGTTGTGCTGCTCTGCATGTTCCGGCGAGTCCAATTGGAAATGAGAACGAAACAACGCAGGATGTATATATCACGACGGCAGAATGCTGTTGGCGCTTGATGGTTGCGCGCATTTAGGTTTAATATGTTGCAGGACCCTAGCTACAACTTTGGCTCGCAGTGCACAAACCGCCGTAGTCCAAATCGCGCCACGATCCAAGCATAGAAACGTGTTGTTGCAAGAGCATTTGCCACTCCAACACGCAGCACCATGAAGCGAGATGCATTGTCCTTGTCCCGTCAACCGAACAGCTTTGGCATCGCGAATGGCTGGCTCTACCCGCTCCGCAGAAGAGGTGCCGAGGGGATCCTGAGATTTGAGACCTTTTGCCGGTGGGAACTGCTTTTGATTCCAGGAATTCCGCATCTTCTCAAAGATGTGCAAACTAAAACGTTCATGTCTTGGAGAATTTCGCCCTCTTCAAAGAATTCCGAGAACTTCAAGTAACGTGAAAAAAAACAGGCTGATGTAGTTTTGTGAGATGCGGCCAGACAACAAAGGTTGCAACCAGCAACGCATCTTGCATACAGGCTTCAGCCTTTGAGCGGGACGCTCCGAGTGCCTTGGGAGCCCTTGTGGCCTCGACTCGCGAAGGCCTGGGTTGAAGCCGCGGTTCGTGTTTCAGGTTCAGTCGCGGCACGCGGTTTGTCGGTTTGCTTCACGACATCTCACGACAAACCTCGGGTCACATGAAGCAGGATTTGCACAACGGTTTTTTGGCTAGATACGGCTCTTTCAAAATATTGGTGGGTGCATGTGTTTTACACAGTTCTGGGGTTACCAGCAACAAAATCCCCACTCCGCATGTAGTCCATTGGCCGCCGGATATTGTGTTGGCAGATTGTGCAGGTCTCCGCAAACCAGTGGTGCCTGCATTGCTGAGGCGGAGCCATCGAGATGACACATGGTTGTTAGGATGGTGGTAAAACATGGAATCGGTGGTAGCAGTGTAGATTGAAGTAGTTACTAAGTTGTCTCCTTCGTGGAAGTATCATCCCCATTGCCACGCTGCACAAAAGCTATTGTAGACGTTTCTTGAACTCCTTCTTGCGCCAGCTCCACCGACCCGGGTTTGGAGGCGAGGCGCGTTGTCCTGCAAGAGGCATTGGGTCTAAAGGTCCTCGCCGCATTGACTTGATTTAGAGGTTGCATTGACTTGGATCATCTCCGGCACCTGCTCTGTGACTGTAGCATGTTAGCAAGTTTCGCATGTGCTCCGTGTTCCTACATCGTGGGATGGTGCTGCTTTACATTGTTTGCCTCCCTTCTCTTGCCTGTCTGCTTGCATCAGTTGCGAGGTGGTTTGTCCAACTCGCATCTCCCCAGAGAGTCGTCGCAACGCTTCCAATGGGAGCCAAATGTTGTCCCAAAGTGCAGAGACAGTAGTATTGAAGCACGACCGTGCTGCCGACACCACACCTGCCAACTCTTGCATGTGAGCCTGAATAAAGTGCATGAAATGTGAAAAAACAACTAAACCCCTTTTCTACATTCAGTCCTGCAGACGTTGACGCGCATAAATCGAGTCTTCTCTGCTTTGCACGACTGGCCTCTCCTCTCGCCCTTCAGGTGCTCCTTCGCAGCTCTCTGGCTCGGCTGGAAGCTCGTGTGCGGGCTCTCGAGGCAGGACGGGGCCAAAAGGGAGGTTGCAGCTTGTTTGCTCCGAACCCCAAAGCGCCAGGGCCAGGGCGTGCGCTCGGATCGCCGTGCTGCAGAGCTGGCGGGGCTTGCGCAGGCCCCTTCTTTTTGGAGGTATTTGTTCGTCATCCTCTCACATACTAAGCTGCTGCTGAAATGGCTCATGGTTTGTATCTTGCCATCAGATACCTTGATGTGTTGAGCAAGGAGCTGACAACAAGGGGGCATCGTAGCATCTCCCCGCTCAGGCCAACCGAGTGCCCGAAGATCCGAAGCCCCACTTGTGGAAACCTCGACGATCGTTATTGCTTGCTGCTTGCTTGCCCATGGCTGTTAGCCGTCAGGCACTTACCGAAGAGCAGCGCACGCTGTTGATCCGGCTGGATCGGCTCGAGGCTTGCTTGGTCGGTCCTGGGTCGCTGCAGGGTGTTGGTTTCCGGGTTTCAAGGTGTCAGTGTTCGATGTTCTCTGTCGTGCAAAGGAGCAGATGAAGCCCTGGCAGCAAAAGGAGGCTCAGGCACGTCGATGTGTCAAAAGCTGTCAGCCGAAGTGCAAGATACCGAAGATAAGATGGTGCGTGGTCAAGTCCAACGAAAGCTTCTCGAGACGACAGGGGAGTGGTTCAGAACAGATGCCATGACGTTTTTCTTGTGGCACCCGTGTGGCACCCGTTCAACAAGCTGAGAGGTTTTCGCAAGTGAGGTCTCGCCTCAGTGATTGCAAGCTTTGTTGTGCAACAGTTGCTAAGAGCCCACGGAGCAATAGCAACAATACACGGCAGCGGCCACGACCGCACCACCGCCACCAGCTTCGCCACCACCACCACCACCGCCACCGCCGTTGCCGCCGCCGCCGCGACCGCCACCGGCTCAATGAGAGAGGCCACGACCAAGTTCAAGACCATGATCACGACGACGACATCGTCTATGCTAATGGCAGAAATGGACAGTAATACGGACAAAAATGCAGCAATTACCACAGTGACGACCACGACGACGACAAGGACGTGAACATGTTTCAGAGCCTGAGCATGCGACTCATGCTGTCCGAGATCCAAAGGGCGCTTGCAAGAGCATTGAATCAGGATGATAGCGTTGCTAACAAGTGCAATTTGAGGGGACCTTTTTCATCTTAAAGTCTTAAAGCCTGGCTTGGTTGCCTGCTGTACTCGATTCCTTCCGCTTCAATCGATGCTTATTTGGGGTGAGGGGTCATAGTGAGGTGTTTGTCAACCGCCGTGCTCGTTGGCAGCCTCCACTGGCTTTAGCTAAGTCGGAGCGGCAGAGGGCAGCCCGTTCTTATAAAGCAGCCAACACCGGCAAAAGGTCGTAACCCACAAGACAGCTAAGGCTTGGTTGAAGCTAATGAACTAACTACGTCTCCGTATGGAAACTACGGCAAATGCTTTCCGCATTGAAGGCTCCGGAGGAACGCCTTTCGCGCTTGGAGCGGGAACAACGTGCAGCAGCACTAGAGCTCAGGCGTGAAACGCGGGGAGCATGAGGCAATGCTTGTGTCCAGAGCCATGTTGTCTCTGGACTTAGACAGATGGCATTGGAAGTTTTTTCCGGCGAGCGATTTCGGTCGGCCCCGATCCATGCAAGTGTTCTACAAGTCACCCACAACAATTTCACACACCTTTGGATGTCCCGGTACGCAGGTTGGCGTCGTCGTCTGCTGAGGAGGCCGTGCCGAGCGGGCTCATGAAAGCCCGAAAGCACACTGCCCGCTCGTGCCCCCCTTCGGCGGCATCTACAGAGCGAGGCCTCGCAGCGGCAGCAGCAGCGGCTGCGAGCCCTGGAAGGACGCCTGGAGGCCGGCATCTGTGCTTGCAGAGCGGCGAGGTCTTTTGCGTGACCTGTGGCTTGCTTTCCAGCTTCGCATGACGTGAAGATCCTGCTAGTTCCCGTTGCCCGCCCTACTGCAAGGATGCGCTGGAGTCTCGGCTGTTGGCCTGGGAGGCAGCTGCCAAGCCTGGCGATGCACCCAGGCCTGGAGATCTCGACAGAGCCGGAGAAAGCAAGTCCGTTCAGAGAGTTTGGGTCCGGAACGAAAGACTCGCATCACAGCCTCAAGGTCCTGCAACAAGCTCGAAGTGACAGGACACCCGTGGAGACAGAGCCAGTGGCGCTCCATCTTCGGAGCCTAGGTGTGCTCTCCAGTGCAGAGCGAGACAGTCACTGCTAGCCCAGAGCGTAGTTCGTGGTTTCGGAAAACCCGAAGGTCGGCCACTGCGAAGCCAAAGGGAAAGGGTTGCTGGTGCTTCTGAGCGGAGGTGCTAGGATGAGGGTTAATTATATTTGGAGGATTCACGTTTGCGGTACTGTCCTGAGTGTGCTGGTCGAAGGCAGGGAATTGGGAAGACATGGCCTCTTCGAACCCTGGGTCCCGGGCCTTTCGATGCGATGCACTCCGCTGTGTCCCCTTCTTGTGTCAGTTGCCTCATCGCCTCTTCGAGCTGACACCTCGCTTCTTGCAGAGCCCCTGGGATTGCACAGCGAGATGGACTAGAGATACTAGAGATGGTAGTGGTCCAGGCGGGTAGCCGCAGGCCATGAAAGGACCCTTAGGGGCTCCGCCATGCGGCTCTTGTCATTTATGTCTCTTTATCCGAGGCTTCGTCATGAAGTGGCCTCGGAGGCACAGTTTTCTTTTTGGCTCTAGACAGTGGCATTGTGACACATGCCCACGGCTTCACTTGCGCTGGACTCAAGTGGAAGAGCTTTAGTTTTAGAGGTAGAGTTTGCTTTGTGTTGGGCGCGAGCTTCTGATACACTCCGGCAGATCAGAAAGCACGAAACCATCTGCCAGTCCCCGCTCTCCGGAGCCTCAATTCGTTTTCGAAATCAAACCTCGCCCGAGTACAGAACTATGAGAACTCGTTTGGAAGCGCCAGGTGTCAGCAGAAGTGCGGCTTTTGCGCACACAGATGGATGAGGCAGCTGCCGGAAAAGCCCTGCCTGTGAGCCATGCAGGCAGACTGAATTGGCTGATATGTCTGTTGTGAAACAGAATGACTTCGAGCACGTTGCATGACTGGCCATAGTTTCGCATTGTTTGTGAAGTTGCGCACCTTGAAGCCAGGTCCATCGGCGGAGCGCTAGCACATTCAGCGACCAGCTTAAAGGGGATGCGTTTCGTTGAGCCTTGTATGGTGTTCAGACCGCTAAACCTTCACCTGGGGGAATCTGCTGTGACATGAAGCTGAACCAGATTTAGCAACCAGACTTCTTTCTCGCGATCACCTACATGTTGACCCAAAACAGATGGATGATACAACTGAGCGTGACCAGGTGACTAGGCACTAGGAGCAGTTGAGACAACAGATTGGGTTTGACGGGTTGGGCAGTCGGGTTCGACTTATGCCATCTTGAGCCTCGATTCGGGATTACATCACGCAAAGATGGCAGCCTCCGTCAAGCCAGATCGAAGCTATCTTGCAACACAGCGGTTCTTGACAAGGAAGGAAAGAACCACAGTCCAATGTATCGATTGTCTCAAGTCGTACTCGGCAACGAGCTCGCGCGCCGAGGTGAGACGCTGGAAGCTCGCGTCACAGGCAAGACTGGCGAGCGCTTGCACCTCCTCTCCGCGGACACAGCCCTGGCCGGATCGCGGATAGCACGAAAGGTCTGGCGGATGCAGTGGAGGAGCTCCGGACGCAGCTGGACGCTCGGGGCCAAGGCTTCTGCGAGCTCTAATGTGCATCTTGCGTGTCAGCGGTAGGACCGCCAGGAGTAATCCAGTCAGAAGTAGGTCGTCTTCAATTGAGCGCAAGCAGTCCTTAGAGTTCTTGCGATTCTCGGTCATTCCGGCGTCATGTGCCATCTGTGCTCGGTTGGAGCGTTGTCTCTCAGATTGAGGTTTTAGGGTTTGTCTCTGAGCTTGCTCTGACCCCTGGTCTGTCCTGCATCTATAGTGTGGGTATGCAAAGGCTGCAAAGGCAGTCTTGGCCCAGGCCCTGGATGGGGCCGATGGGGCCTGAAATTCAATCCAGGCTTTTGGACACCTGAATGACTCGCACCCATCAAACGTGGTGTCAATTCCTGCAATTCGCGCGAGTACAAGCAGCAAAGCATGTCATTTTTGTGTAGCTGATGGCTGCACTGGGCCGGTTTGATTGAGAGGCCGACTTGTCTAAGAAGGCCTATCTATCGTTTCTCGCAGTCGCGGTCGTCCTTCCACCGACGGGCCATCTCCGGATGGCTGTCAGTGTGGAATACGAGGCGTTTGTGCTGTCTCTGGACTCGACCCTTGCCCATACTTGTCCATGTCACCGGCTGATGCTGGTATTTCCTGGCCTGTACTGGTCGGAGTCCTCAGTTGTGTGTTGCGCTTAGCAGCTTTGTTCAACATTAGGCGGAACGCGCACGCAGCATTTGTCCCTTGCCAAGGCACCACCCAAGCAGCACGAGGATGAGTGTGACATTGCCCACTTGTCTGGAAGATGTCAGTTTAGGAGATGAGCTCTGAACTTTCCTGACGCCTTGCTTTGTCGTTGAATGCGGGGTCAGGGAAGGATTGTGCACAGCCGTGAGCAGGACAGCGCCTGCAGTCCCATATCACCGAAGCGTCTCGAAGACTCTGAGGCGAGTCTCCTCCTTGCATCCGGCTCATGTTCAGGGATCTAGGACAGCTAGGAGATGTGTGTATTTGTGGTTGTACAATAGCAGCATGATGCAGCATGCCGGATGCCCAAACATGCGAACCTAGTGTTCTCGTGAAGGTGCATGCATGTAGTCGTTGTGGATGCAACAATGATGCAACTTACCATATCGTAGCAGTAGCAGGCCTGCAACCTTGCGCCACTCGAGATGCCTTTGTTAATTCACATCCATACGCAAGCTGCCACCCTCAGAGCAGATTCAGGCCGCCGATCCAGCACCGGCTCAGGCCGTGTCGTCTCCAGCCGGTGTTGGCGCGAACGCGGGTGATCAGTGCAGAGCGACTGCAAATATTGCTGCGAACATGATTTTGCAACCACAGGGCACGCAGTGACAAAGAAGCATGCGCACACGTCCCATACTTCAATTTAAGTCTCAGACGGCCAGGCACCTCTTGCCACGTGCATGCTGCAATCGTGGAGTGCGACCACGTGCTCACAGGTGGAAGTGCTCCAAGATTTCACTGCTGAGCTGCGCACCCTGGTGGAGGCCTTGCGGTAACGGCCAGCGAGAAAATGCAACCTCACGGCCTAGAGCTGCGCGACTGATCCATGTCGTTGGAGTGCATGTGTATGAAATGCTGACTCCACCTTGCAGAGTGTTGATGTGCTACGTACGGTTTCTTGATGAGTGATAATTAACTGGCATCGACCAGAACACCTCTAGGTTCTTTCTCTGTCTCTCCGGGCCTCGTTCCGTGCCCTTTCTCCGTCTCGCTGGCTCGCTCGTGTCAACGACTGTGAAAAGTGTCCTTTTGAGGAATCTTTTGAATGTCATTCCGTAGCAATTGCCTAGCGGGCGCATGCCGCCGGATGCCGGCCAAGCGTGAGCAGCACCACTGCTCATGCCTGGCAAAGGTCTGATTGAACTGAAACTGCTTGGTGCAGGAGCGCTTGCTGATTTCTTTGGCAGAGCTAGAGCAGCAGGCACAGTTCAGGGTTCTGGGCTTCATTGAAAAAGGCCATTGGCAGAGCTTCCACGCAAGCGGGGGTCGCATTGCTTCAAGAGTCATCAAGACCGGTCCAAGTCGCCTTTTTACGTCGTTTGCGAGGTGCCACAGCTTTGCCGCCAACAAGAGTCGGATGCCCGGGGTTCGCCTGGAGGTAGTGTTGTGGCATGCCGCACCTATGCTACCCGAGATCTCATATTTAAGGCTGCAAGCTGCGGACGCCGCCGAACGGGCAGGAAAGCTGCAGGAGTTTGAGGTGCGGGAACTCGTTGGATGAAAGGACATACAGCCGCTTTGGATACAGCTGGGTTGCCCGTGCACCCCGCATGGCGAGTGCAGAGTCTGCATGTTATTTGGACCTGTGAGCTTTCCATGACCAAGCAGGTCCGAATGGAGATGGTGTCTCGACGCTTGGGGACGCAGGAAGAAAGGCGCGACGAGCAAGTCTCTTGATAATTTCGAGTGGGTCTTCACACCGCCATTAGAAAGCAGCTTGACAAGAACAAGCTGCGACGCAATGGTTCTTTCTCCTAAAATTTTCAATGCTGGCCTAGCGATGAAGTCGAACTCACACCAACACGCGACCACAGCCGCCGAGTGATTTGTGCGAGGAAGGCGAAAGCCACGATTAAGAGACGGAGCACCGCTGATTGTAGCCCAGCTGTCTAGCTGCGCGACTCCTAGCATGGAGTCCCGGAGGTTGCAGAGCTGCTTCGATCGGATGGAGCGGCTCCCGCAACTGCCACAGCCCGGGGCCCAGAGGGCCCAGGGCTACGGGCAGTAAGCTTGAAATAGATGGAGAAGGGGTCCATGCAAGGCCGATTCAGCACGGCGATCACTTGTCCGCAGCTCCCTAGGATGGGATTCGTGGCCGTGGTTTTGGGTGGTGATACTGCTCCGAACCCTGCTGCACGGCACAAAAGCTAAAGCAATCCCTGAAGTGCCACACACACACACTGGTGTCGGGAAGCAAGTTGGCCAGCAGGTCTACATGTTAGTGTGTGGATCGGAAGCCCACCCAAGCTCTCAGATCCATGTGAATGCCAAGAAGCAAGCGGCAAGACCTCTGAGTGGGGCCAGGCAGCCAGGCTACTTAAGGTGGAGACCGCAATGCGAGGACACGCAACCACAAAGACGATCCATCCGGCGAAGGAGCAAACTTGGTGGACTCATGAACGGGAGCCCCTGGTGATGCGCGAATGGCAAGACCCACAAGCCTCTTGTACGGTGCCCACCTGCTGGTGAGCTTCTGCCTTGCAGAAGAGGTGGCAGAAGATCAGAAGATCAGAAAGAAGAGTCTCTCGGGCAGTCGCTGTGCATTATTGCTTCTGTTGTCCCATGGATCTCTCCCTCCCTCATGGAAACTGTTTCTCGTTCCATTATTTATCCAGGTTCATACTTGCATATGCCATGGACACAGTCTTTATCGGCATCCCAGTGCAGTAAGCTCGCACTAGCTGCACTCCCATATGGAGGGATAGCACTCAGTTCCATCGTAAAGTGCAACTATCTTGTCAAGACGGAACACGATGGGGACGTCTCCTAAAATTCACGCGAACCTCTAGGGAGCAGGCGCATTACGGACGTCTGAGCTGTGCGTGTGCGAAGAAAACGCAGTGGCAGTGCCAGCAGCAGCGGCGGCAACAACAGCGGAAGCGACACCAGCACCTGCCTGCCGGTGACCACCGCATCGCTGACCACAAACACAGCTCCGCAAGTGCACAAGAAGAGGCGGGATTGCATTTGGTGGATGGTAGCCTGGAGTACTAGTAGCATCTGATATTCCGGCAGACCAGAATTTTCGTTGACCCTTTGCTCTTCGACTTCGCCTCGAGGCTTCGCAAACTCTGCCGCGAGGAGGCCCAGAAGCGGCTCGGCGAGGCTTGCAGGGGCTTTTGGGGACATTCCGAGAGGTGGTCGGATGTTACTGAGAGGCTTCGTTTCGCCAGGAATGGCAGCAGTGTTGGCAGTGCAGATGACCCCGTGCTCTGAATCCCCAACTTTAAATTCTAAGCCCAAAACCTGAGAGATGAATCGCAGGAGCTTCCCGGCCTTTCCGGTGACCTGGCGAGGCAGCAAGAAGTCCTCGACGAGGCCTCCGAGCCCCGAGGGCTGAAATCCTACTAATCCTACTGGCCCTACTACTACTGCTGTTTTTTCCTACTACTGCTACTCCTATTACTACTACTGCTACTGCTGCTACTTCCACTACTGCTTCTACTACTACTACTACTACTACTACTACTGCTACTGCTATTGCTACTGCTACTGCTACTACTACTACTACTGCTGCTACTACTACTGCTACTACTACTGCTACTTCTACTACTGCTACTTCTACTATTGCTACTTCGACTATCGCTACTACTACTACACTACTACTACTACTACTACTACTACTACTACTACTACTACTACTACTACTACTACTACTACTACTACTACTACTACGACTACTGCTACTACTACTACTACTACTACTACTACTACTACTGCTACTACTACTACTACTACTACTACTGCTACTTGTACTACGGCTACTGCTACTACTGCTATTTGCTATGAGAACGTTGCTAATGAAGTATTACTAGAGACACAACTTTGCACCCGGGACAGGTTCAGCTTCAGCTGCAGCGTCTTGGAGGCCGCTGGCTTTCCGCAGGCCATCTTTGTGCTTGGTAGGGGAGCAGCCTTGCGTCAGAGTTTGACAAGACAGTATTGTGAAGTACTTTGTCACTTATATCTCCGATACCAGACCAGGCTGCAATATACCAAAGCATGCTATCTTGACTTTCGGTAAGGAAGTGCTAAACGATGAGAATGCCTCTGCTTATCTGTAAAGAATGTTTTTGCTGCGGCTGTGGCTGCAGGGTCGTTTGGCAGAGAAATGCTCCGTAGCACACGACTCATGGAGACAGGACCTGCGCCCTGTGCTGCAGGGCAAAGATCTCAGCTGATGCCCAAGCTGGCTCCTCAAGGAATTTGATGCCTTTGTATCTCGGGCAGACGGTCGTAGGATTCAAATTGGAACAGGCATGTACACCTCCTTCAAAACAGCAGAGAGCCCCCTCCAGAGCCCTGAGCCCTACAAAAAGGTTTTGTCGAAATAGAGATCGAGTTCGAGTGGTGCACATGCCCGGCTGAAAATGGCCAGACGATTGGGCCACTGCTCGAAGCAGTGCAGAGCACTGCCACGCTAACGAACTGTGCGGGAAAATCCGGTCCCATGCCTGAGCGCTGCCGGACTGCCGTGATGCCCGCCCTGCAGCATGAAGTCGGAGGGAGACAGTCGTGCTCGTTAAGCCTACTACCTACTACTTCCAAACCGCCAAATTTGTACTCGTTTAGCTAAGAACCATGTCTTCCGTCTTCCTCTTTTGCCGCCACCGGGCCCACTCATCTGCAATCTTGAATGGTGCGAACGAACCAGATGACCTTTGGCTGGAAGGCAGTGGATAAGACTGTGTGTTCCGGACAGTTGTTTACACGACGACATCTTGCATGTCCGGCATGAGACGCGACTTCGAATCTCACGGATTCAGTTTCAACTTCGGCAACGTCAGACTTGAGGGGAGCTAAAGTTATGTTTTTTTTGTTTCTAGGTGTTGACGTCTGTAGAGGCTTTCCGAGATGTTTCAGGATTGCCCTCCATGAGCGGGCGAAGTCTGAGCCTCCGACGCTTGCGTCCTAGCTGTCACCAGCCTTCCTAATCGCACCTGCTTTGACACAAATCTTCGTAGCCCGAGTTGCGCTATGTTGTGCTCTGCTTGTAACACAAGTGCCGGGCCATGTATACCGGACCTAGAAGCGCTGAGTCCCTGAGTCCCTGATCTTGAGATTCCCATGGTTGGGATTTCTCACCTCCCGTCTTTGCCCCTTTTTGCATCGCCGCTGCGCTTCCGCTTCGCTTCACGGCTCAAGCCCTCGCGGGAGGAGGTCCGCCGATGGCCTTCGCTGCCTGGTCGCAGTTCTGGACCATTTTGGCGCAGATGTGTGAGATCACATAAGGAGGCCATTGCGCGCCGGAGGCAACCTGCTAGGTAGTGCACGACGGGACCCCTTTAAGAGGGATCCCTAAGGGGCCCCTTAAGAGGGAGAGGGATCCCTCAGCTAAGAAATCCTCACAGCCCGGATGGTGAGGTCAATTCCCGCGCGAGCCCGAAGCCGACAGGCCCGGGGACGCGAGGTTTTATCTTTCCTAGTCCGGAGGCTTGCAGTTTTGAGTTCCAGGTTTGCATAGCCTAAATCCTAAATCCTAAACTTTGTGTGATCGCTAAACCCTAAATCCCGAATGTTAAACCCTGAGCCTGAAACCTGAACCCGAAAGTGTTTTGAAGCATGAAGGGCCACGGGTCTATAGAGGAAGCCTGGCTGAGCGCTCGATAGGTTGAGTGCCTCGTCTTCGGGCCGATCTTGAAAGGACCGGTAAATCGCCGTCGCGCAATGCAACTCCGTCTCAATGGAAACACCGCTCCGGCTGCAAACTGAAGTGGAGGGTGCCCCTTGCAACGACAATCAGAGCCTTTCAGTTTTCGAGGCCGGCCACACAAGCAAAGCTTCACTCTGCTGGGACGTGATGCTCGCGGGGACGAGCCTAAAGTAGCCAATCATCAAAACGGAGGACAAAGGCCAGAAAGTGGAGGCGCGAGAGCCGAATCAAAGAGCAGGGCCACAGCAATCGAACGGAGTTGTGAGCAAGTTCTTCCATGTTCTTCCTTGCTGCATCATCACGGGTGCACTTGCAAGGGCGAGACATATCAGAGGGTTCAAGGCATTAGGCATCATGTCTGCAAAGAAGCGATTTGTCCGAAGACAAGCCTTCCAGCTTGCACGGCTTCCCAGTACAAAGGTCAAAACCCGGAGTAAGGGAAGCAAGGATTGGAAGCATCCATTGCTGCGAGCACAGTTGGCTTCTGGTTGAGTGGGAGGTAAAGAAGAGTTGCAACAATGATGTTGATAGTCAGAGAGAGTGCATATATATATATATGTACATATACAACGATGTTTTTGACCGCATGATGTGCTGGCGTTGTGTGGTCTTGTCTCTAGGATGGATCTGTGCAGCTGTCTTCATGAAAGCAGGTGTACATATATATGTAGATAGTATGTTTTTATCGATAGATTAGTACTCAGGAAGAGCAATAAGTTCAACAAGAATGATCGACTGCAAAACGAACCATGGTCACCGAGAGGCTCGGGGCTCCCAGTGGTAAGAAGGCGGTCGGCATCTCAGGAGCACATGTCGTTCTAGGCACAGGTTCTACATCAGTGACAGTAGTGATGGTTTCTGCTCCCAGCTTCTGCAAAGACGTGAGGATCTTTCAGTTTGGACTCGCTATGCTCGTAGAATGTGCTTGGAACGACGGGCTAAGACATCTGAGGCGCACCTCGGGACACCTGAACTTTCGAGTGCTTCGCATGACAATCATGTTCCAGAGGTGCCACGATTCCTCTAAACATCTTCCCTGGCACTGACGCACTGATCCGGCTCAGGCTGCATTGCTTAGCCTGCGCTGGGGTGTCAATGGGTCTGTGCCCCGGTCATGACCTGCGATCCAGAATCCAGACTTGCAGAGTCACCACGAGGTGGAAGCGTGATTATCAAGGAGATAGGGGGACAGAGAGCGAGCGGCGAGCGAGAGCAACAGAATGAGAGAGAGACAGAGAGAGTAACCATTTTGGCCCAAGTCCGTCGTGACATTGAGGCCAATTGTGGGGGCTCCGGGATTCGTTCGGACCTGTGCCGTCCTTGCCAGATGCTGGGGGTGCCTTTGCAGTTGGACGGTTGAGACCGTCCACCAAGAACTTCTCTGATCTCTCAATCACCTGTCCCTGCAATCCACACGGTGGTCTACCTTCCCGCCCTATCAGGTGGCCGCAATGCATGTTTGTAGTGTTAAGGCAGCTGCCAAAGACTGAACGGGGGCGGACGAAGCACCCTAAACCATTCAACATGTTTGGAGTTGGGTAAGTAGGCAAGAATTCTTACCCAACCCCGTTGAGCGCGTTCCATGCCAAAGAGACGAGTGTCTCCTTGAACCCCTTGTGCAACCTTGTTGAGCTGTTCAGCCGGCCCACCGGCAGAGGGACCGGACAGTTTTCTGCAAAGAGATCGGCCAGTGAACGTCAATGCGCTGGGGTGTAAGTTTGCTACTTTGGCCCGTATGCCGTGTTGGCGAAGAAAGCAGGAGAGAAAGGCCCACCTGTAAGAAGCCGAAGACGAAACGCAGAGTCCAGGCTCAACGCAGGTTCAGAGACCCTAGGCAGAACTAAGATAGATGTACGTTTTGCCTGCCTGTGCAGTACAACTGCCTCTTCCTTGCAAACAAGACGAAATGAATGAAAGGAAGAGGCAGGTTGAAACCTGTACCGTGTTGCCCTGTTTCGAGCTGAAGTAGGGTGTGCAGATAAAGAAGGCGAGGCGAGGTAGTGCTCGGGGCTGATACTCACTAACGGCTTTCGACAGGACGGCTGCGGCTGCTTTGAGCTTCATGAGTTCTCGCCATCTAGCATGCCTGGAAATGCATGTTCATTGTGGTGCAAAGACAGAACCGACACCTGCGTGTTGCAAGCATCAGGAAGTACTAGGAAATAGAGTTCGGGAGCTTGGGACTGGCATCCGGCAGCTACACATGCCGGAAAGCATGGTTCAATGGTTCAATAGCATGATGACGAAAGGCCAGTCCTTTGAATATGCAGGAGACCAATATAAAGAGTCATGACTCTGGGACCTCACTATGCTACCGTGAACTTCGGTTGCACGAACAGCTGGCTGGGTTTGATTGAGCTCGTAGCTCAAATGTCCCCTTTAAGGCCACGATGGTGGTGGCAGGGGAGATCCGGACGCGCCTGGTTGAGTATGGCACCGGCCTCGGCTGTAGCGTCTGAGGGCGGGCAGGTTCCTTGCCAACCTTGGACCTTGAGCGCGAAAGCAGCCCCGGCCGTCATTTCATCTTTCGCAGTTTCGACTAGAGGCAAGTTCAAGATCGTCATCATGGATGCCCCGTGTGACGAGAACTCGCACATGCCTGGAGCTTTGCATGTCTCTCGCTGCCCAAGCTGTTGTGTGAATGCAGTGGATTTACCCTCTGAGCTTGGAGAGCCCATGAGAGCCTATGAGAGCCCTCGAAGCCTCGGTAACCGAGGTATGTGCGAGAGCTCAAGCAGCTGGGGGTCACTGATGTCGTGCCCCACGCTGTTTAGTTGACTCAGGTATCTCTAGTTCCTACCAGGGGTCTGGAGAGCATCCACTCTGGCCTTGAGCTGAGAGACAGAGAGCTTCAAGAGACACAATCCTCAGGGAGATGCAGGTGACCGTGAAGAAGAGCAGATTGGAGCTGCCATGTAGGGTCATCCAAACTTCTTGTCCCATGCGGTTGTTCGAGTTCTTCATGGCTTGCATCTTGCTTCTTTGCTGTCTCGGGCGCGAGGTACGAACTTGTGAGCCCACATACTCACCCGAGCTTTTTGAAAGAGAAGGTATTGAGGCACGCCAGCCACGATGTTGCTGCACATGTTGGCGCACCCAAGCGCGTGGCTACAGTCAAGACAGAGATCTAGCCCTCAGACACCATCCCCGCTTGCAGCAGTTCCGTTCCAAGACTCATGCCCTTGACCAGGTCCATGAAATGACCTTCCCGGATGGTGCAGCACCACCGGAGGCCGGAGCGGTGTTGTGTCAGACTTGGTATCTGAAGTTGTCGCATAGCTGGGGCGATGGGCTGCAACAGAGCGATGGACTCCGCGCGAGGTCCAGCTACAGTAGGTATCCTTTTTTTAATCACGGCTCCTTCTTTTGCCACTGCACCACCGGACGCGAGGAGCTAATTCAAAAATGGAACGGTGCCTTGGCAGAAAGTCGGGACAGGGACATAGCTCGAGCTTATACAGAGGTTGATAGGTCTTACCAGTGAGCTGGACTTGTGGGCTCACGAGTCTGAGGCTTGAAGCCTCCCTGCATGTTTCTCCACAAACTCGGGCTTGAAGGAACTCAAAGTCTACCAATCTCTACCAGGGATTTCTGGACCTGTTTTGCATGACCTTGGCATTGAGGCCTGATTTGCCAAAGATACCGACCAAAGGACCCGGCACCTTGGCCTCAGAACTTGACGGTTCTTGTCTGAGCGCGAGCCCTCTTTGGTCTTTGGATGTCTTTGGTCCGCTACCTGATTTGTCCTTGCACGGTCTTCCGTAGTCTGGAATGGGAAATGGTGCGAGTCATAGATCCAAACAGGTCCCCGACGGCAGTGTGGCGGTGCACAGCTTGTAAGCTTCCTTGTTCATGCAGCATCTGGCTCACAGAATCCCAGTGCAAGAAGATCTCCGTACTTCCGACATTGTCTGCGCATCCTGAGTTGAGTTCACGGGTCCCTACCTGCCAAGGCGGACACAGGCGTCGTGGCCGTTCACTGCGTCGCTGGGCTTGGTAGGGCCAGAAGCCCGATGTGCTCACCAGGTGTTCGCTTTGCCCGGTGGTTCTCAGCCCAGGGTGTTGCACATGGATACGATTCCCGAGCTGGCAGCATACGAGGCCCCTGTCATGGCAGCTGTCGCTCTGATTGAGATGACAGCTATGGACCCGATGGATGCGGCAGCAGACTCGGAGATTGAGGTCTCAAGTAATCTGGCTGTCCTTCTTTGTTTCGGACCAGGGGGGTGGCAAGCGTCTGTCCCTTCAAAATTTGGCCTGACAGAAGCCACTAACTCATCACAGGACGAGCCTCGCACTGTAGCAACTTCCCCCAGCCGAAGCGATTCTCCCGAGACCGGATCGCTTCCGAGGTTGAAAAAATTCGTGAAAGGCAGAAAGGTGCCATCAATGCAAGGCAGCTGAAATTCCTTCAGGCGCGGGTTTGGGTTCAGGGCACTCGAGAGCTCCCGTTCTGACGAAGGCTGTTCCGGTGGTTTGTCCTTCGGCCACTTGTCGGCCTCATTCGGCTCTTCAGATCGTCTGTGATGTTAGTGGACTTTTCTTCCGGCAAGAGTTTGCTGTTTGCAAGCGATGCCGTGCCAGTCCTACAAACCCATGACCAAGCCGGGCCCAATGGGCCGGGATCCAAGTGCTGCTCAATTGCTCGGTCCTTTGATTATGTTAATTTTGCGATTGGCCCTCTCTCTCTCTCTCTCTGTCTCTCTGTCTCTCAGTCTCTTCTCAGTCTCCTCTCCCTCTACCTTTCTTTCCCCTCCCCTCTCCCTCGCTCCCTCCCTCTCTCCTTCACTCTCTTCCTCCCTCCCTCCGTGTCTCTCTCTCTCTTTCTCTCTTGCTCTCTCGCTCAGGTCCTCTCGGTAATGGCACGACCTGCTGTTCCCGTTGCCAATTCTTGGTCTTAGCAGGGAATCCGATGGAGAAGCTGCTAGATGGCAAAGGCGTGTAACCCCGCGAGAACGGGATTCTTGCTACCTTGTGCACTCGCGGACAGGTCTTGGGCTTCATCCATTCCTAAAGGCCCTAAACCTGAGAGGGTTGCTTCAGGGTTTGGACAAAAAGCCCTAGGTTTGATGGCTCTTGGCAGTTGTAGAGCTGCAGAAGCGCACACCGCGCCTGGCGTTTTGGGTATGGAGTCCACCATCGTTTCGAGATTGTCAAGACTTGTCAACTCGTCAGAGATGCATGGTTTTTCGCTGAAGGGCACGACCACGAGCCTGCTAGTCTTGTCCTCTGGAATTCCTAGCATGGCCGAGGTCCCTGCAACTGCACCGTGATGTGACTTGCGTAGAGTCGGCAAACCGCACGGGCTGGGGGAAGAGCCTGCAAAGCTGGAAACTTAGGTGCATGCTTTGGGGCCTTTCAGTAGCACATCGGTATGTATTACTTTATTGCATCGTTTTTCTTTGTTGTTTTATAGATGATATCATGGAGGAGCGTATCAACGAGACTGGCTTGACGACTCGAATTTTCCAGTTTGCAGGTTTGTTGGCCCCAGTCAATTCTTTGTGGAGACAGAGCCAACTCCGAAGCCCCAGAAAGCAAATTTGCTCAGGTAGGACAGGTTTGATCCCTCCGTTTGCAACTCTTAAGACTTGACTTGGCGATTTTTGGCGATACTTGCGGTTAGCCTTGTGGGACGTGCAATCGACGTTTTCAGCAGGTCCGTCTCCGGTCTTGGTTATTTGAGGGTCGGTCGCACGGCAGCATATACGCCCATGTGCATGCATGCGTGCAGACACAAACACACACACATATATACATATATATATATATAGATGTTTATATTTGTATATTCATGTATGTATTTTTACAGGTGTGGGTATATACATATATACACACATAGAGTGAAACTCTATACATATATATATACACAATTGTATGTATGTATATATGTATGTACATACGTAGGTATGTATGCATGTATGTATGTATGTGTGTATGTAATCATACGTTTTCTTCAGGATATATATATATATTAATATATACTAATATATATATATATATATATATATATATATATATATATATATATATATATATATATATATATATATATATATATATATATATATATATGCGGACACATGCACATACAGAAACACATACACGTCCCCACACACAGGTTCACCCATACATGCGTACATCCATGACATATATATGTACATGTACATATATATATATATATATATATATATATATACATATGTATGTGCACATGCACGCATGCACATTAACATATACATATACACGTACGCCTACATGTACATGTACAGAAATACACACAGGTACAAGGACACATAGAGATACACTGACATCACATATATATATATGTATAAATGTACGCACACATACAGAATACAGACACATGCGCAGGCCTTTGCATACCTTGACAGGGACGCATACATGCATACATAAGTACATGCAAAAAAGTGTATAACACATGCGTACATGCATACATCCATACACACACAAGCACACACACACACACACACGCACGCATGCATGCATGCATGAGTAGCTCGGGTATAGCTCACATGCAGACGTTTACACATGTACCGAAAACATACATGGTTGAAATTTGCGAGACAAGGGCGAGACCATGCTAGACTGAACTCAAAAAAACATTGAGGCCGACAGATTGTACTCTTGAGAGGCTCAGAGCCAAGAAGACATATGGCTACTCATCCTGGACATTGCAGAAGGTGGAACTCTACAACTTCGTGTTGGCTGGTGTTTCTCACCATGGCCCTGTTTCAAAGTCGCGCCGATGAAGATTTTGCATCCCTCAGGACATCTCTCCACAGGGTAAGCCCTCCAACCCCCGCGAATCGTTGGCAGAAACAAGCTCTCGTGGGGACGTGCTTTTGCGGTGCAACTCTAAGTGCGTTGCAAGCTAGCTGACGCAAACACTGCGTTGAACTGTTTCGCCTTTGGACAGGGTCGTTGCTCGCTGACTCAAGCTGCCGTTGTTCAGAAAAGGAGCTCACCCTGCCTAGCAAGATTATCAAAATTGCAAAGCTTAAACCTGGCATATCTGATGCTTCAAGACTGCAGAGAATGCCTCTGTGCTGTTACAGCCTGAAGTCTGCGCCCCGTTCTGAAACGCAGAGACTGACTCTTCCCAAGCAGTCCTTGCAGGCACAACATCCTTTATAAAATTGGGGGTCAGTTTGTCCGTTTACTTGAACCTAACTCTGGACAGGCAGGAAGATTGTCGGTTTTGTGCTAAGAACAGACGACCCGGCAGTAGAATCGCAAGCATGACCCGCAGTGAGCCAATCACTGCTTGCATTATGTAGTATAGGCGCATCATTGCACTGTACTGCAGGTGTCAGGATGCCCATTACGCACATTTGAACTCCTTTTTGTAGGAGGTCGTGCCGGCTGCGAACCCGGAACACCTGAAGGGATACCGTGCATGACGTGACGTCGGCTGCATCCTGCATTGCCAAGACTCTTCTTTCCTGGCTGTCCGGGCTCAAAACAGCGTCGGCAGCGCTGCCGCGCAGGCACCGTCCTTTCAGGGCTGGCTGGACTCGGCTTGGCGGATTGTGCTGATAGAGCTTGTCCGATGTTTCGTGCTGCCTTCTGCGTGGTCTCATTTTCCTTGTTTTACGAGCTTGCTTTGTCCATGCGGGTGGTGAGGACACGCAGTGGCACTTAAATCGCACAAAAGGTGTGTGTGGTCTGTAAATGTCAAGAACTCGCAGCTTCCGGATGCCAAATGCTGTAGCCGTGTAGCCAGCATCATCGCATAGTCTTCGCTCTTGCAGTGGCTGTCCGTCAGGGCATTTTAGTGTACTTGCACTCTCAGTTAGCTTCCGATTGCCATTGCACAGTGGAAAGTTGTTGCCTTTGCAGGCAAGTCATGTGGCCTGAAGCAGAGCTTCACCGGGCTGTGGCATAGATTCTACGGTAGATTTGCCACAGCCTTACACCGAATCTCTGAAAGCCGAGCTGAGAGGCGGCGCTCGCTGTTCGGCGAGGCCGTACGATGAGGTGGCGGATTCTTTCGGGTGATGGCACGTGCGTAACAGCGAATGATGCAGCCTATTCTCTGCCAAATCTCCAGCCCTCAGCCCAGTCCTTGCAAGCTTGCAAGCCCCCGCTAGGACATGTCTGTACGTCTGCTAGGCCTCCAAGCCTCTGTACAGTGCCGTTCGAATCTCTGCACATGCGCCAGCTTACACAGCTCGTCTCGCCGCCTTTGCTGGTACTGAAGCAGGCAGGGACTGGTGTCGGTGGATTTAACCCCCCAAAAAGGAACTGCACTGCTGCCGCTCAGTTCGCATCGCAACGCCAGCACATTGAAGGACCTGCAAGTCGGAGAGGGGCCTTGCCCGAGACTGGAGACATGTCACATGTGTGGATATTGTGGTCCATGCGAAGCGTTTCAGGCGCGATGTTCGCCTTTCGTTTCATCGCCCTCATGGGGCTGGTCGGGATCTGAGCACCCAGGGAGTCCCGAATAATGTGCTGCCTTCAGTGACCCAAGGCTTCGCCTGCGTCTGACAGCTGGACGTTCATAACTGTGCTTTGCTGTGGACGCAGAGCATCCGAGGCGGACCCGGGTACTGCAAGGTCTTCCTTCCGGCGCAGTGAGGCGCTGTGGGTTTAACATGTCAAAGCAAGCCGGAAGTTGTGGGAGCTTCGAAGGACCACTCGGAGACGAGTGTTTGGGGGAGTTTCCAGCGTGCTTGGGCACCGGGTCCGTTCAGGAGCGTGAAGTGTGTCAGGGAACGCAACATGGCAAGATGAGTTTGCGTTTTGTACGATACTTCTAAAGCGATGCTTCGACCGTACATGGAGCAGAGTGCAAGCAAAGTACAGGGCGTAGGAACTTTGAACTTGGATAGTATGGTACGTTTTGCCAGTGTTGGGATCCAAAGCCCAACACGAGTCCCCAACTTGAAGCTTGCCACCACTGTACAGGCTCGCAGTCGCCAGGAAGCTGAAACAGCGAAGAAGTCAGAATTCTGCTTGAAGCAGTCTTTGTGAGGCAATGCCAGACCCATCAGCGAACCTCGGTGATTCTGGTGCGTCAGCGGTGCAACACTGTTTTCTGGAGCTGGGTGAGACGGGGGTAGCGGTGATTGCTTGTATATTCCGCACGTTTCTTCGGTTGTGGCTTGTGCTGCAGCATCCCGTTGAGGTATGGAGTTTCAAGACGTGCGCAGTGTTTGTAGGAGGATGCCAGGCTTCCAACCTTGGCACGCCAAAAAGGGCTTCCTCTTCTGTCAATGGTTTCGCAACTGGTGAAGCACAGGATCCATCTTCCAATCACCCTCAGAGCTCCAGGTATGTGTTCCGCATGGTTTAGCAATGGTGTGGCATACTTTCAGGTGGCGTGTCAGGGATGGTGCTGCCGGAACACCCGTTATGCTACTGAAACCAGGACCTCGGATCAACCACTGATCTAGAGGGGCTTGATGTATCAACTACGTCACTATGTGACAAGATCACTGATGATGTTTGGTACTGGTAGGCGTGCCCATCGGGCGCTCTGCACGAACCCCGTACATTACCCGTTGAGTTGAAGCTTGCCCGCAAACTTATAACGCAATGCATGGGGTTGCAAGTACTTGCCAAATGCGCACCTTGCGCTGTGTGTGATGGTGTTTTGAACCGCAGTGCTGTGAAGCATCAAACCCCAAAGCTCAGAATTCTCAGGGTGCCGGAACGAGAGAACACCGGCTCGCCAAGGATCGCAGCGCCATTCTTCCCCTTTGTGGGTCGGGTGGCCGTGTTGACGCCCAAGGATACTCTGAAAGAGGCAGGTGGGTGCTCATGAAGTTTCGTCCGGGAGTGCTACCAGGCTTGTCTCGCGATCTGTAATGTAATGGCACGATGCTGCAGATGCGTAACATATTATGACTATGATACCTATCATATAAGAGTTTAGTACAATAATACGGTAGCCCCCAAGTTGTCCGGATGCTGGAGGCCATTTCGAACATGAGCGTCACCGACATCGTCGGCAACATGTCAGCTTCCGACCTCTTTGCTGCTCGGACAAGACGACAGATCTTCGGGCCTTGAGAGCTGTATTAGAAGTCTTGGCGCGGGCTAGTAATCAGCAACATGATAGGAGAATATTTAACATTAACACGTAATACGATGTCGTCTCGTATACCATACCAGAAATACTTTAATCTACTACAATGTACGACAACATACTAGAATATACTACAGTGTAGAATACCATGCTACAAGATACCATGATACACCAGGTTATACGAGAACATATTCTTCGCAGACATGTGCTTTCTCTTGCAGGATTCTGGATCGGGATTAGACATATCGGTATGCCAGTCTGCACGATTCGATTTCCCCCTCTTTTGCAACTGCAAGCATGTTAGCTTCAGGGCAACGGCGACGGCTCAAACGAGACCACGACACAGAGTCCAAAGGCCCGATGCTGCAAAGCGAGTTGCGGTGTACTGCTCACAGTATGCTATGATTTCTATAACGCGCCCTCATATTCTACGATGTGCGAGAATATGCTGCTCACAATGAACGTGGCTGATCCGGGGTGGATGTAACAGTTGGAGGCAGTCGGTCGCTGCCATGGTTTGCGAGAAGAAAGCAGTTGAATCTGAGGGGTTCTTCTCAGGACTATACTATATACTACAATATACTTTAATATGCTATGGTATACAATAGCGTACTCTAATCTACTAATGATCTGCAGTATCGTACTTTAATATACTATGATATACAATAGCAGTGTGCCTCAGTATACGATCATATACCATAACATACTGTATTATAGCTTTGATGTAGGCGGAGATCCGTGGCTGTTTTCAGCTCTCCACAGGCGACAGAGGACCCTGAGTTGAAGGCCAGTGCTTGTTCTTGCCCATGGACTTCAGTTACGTGGGATTGCGGGTGCTACTGAACGGGGGTGTTTGGCAACGGCTTGGGGTAGGAAGTTGAATGCAGTCATGAGGCACCATTTCAGTCAAGCGTCTGACACTGGCACGTTCCAAGACAATCTCCTGCCTTGCACTGGTTCAAGCAAATCCTGGCTGGCAGCCATTCTTCTGAATAGTTTTTGGCATGGGCTGTTGTGTTTCTTGCTCCTCCTGCTTTCATCCCATTTGCACCCGAGACATGTGAGGTGGAAAGCGCTGAGAGCCCGCGCGAAGCACAGCTGGGGCTTTGAGTAAGGGCTTCCAAAACAGTGGAATCTCATTTTGTTTTGGGGTGGCGGAAGGCCTGGTAGTAGAGCCTCTGGTATAGTGGAGACGGCATTCGAGAGACCGTGCCACTTCTCTGCCTGCGGGCGAGTGCCCCTAGAGATGTTCAAACAGAAATGGTGATGCGTGGCATGCAACAGCAGCTCGCACATGCAGTCGTAGCCATACTCCGACAGTGTAGATCCCTCCACAACTGAAGCCGTGGTTAACCGTCGCAGTGACACATCAGTCCTCCATCGCTGTCTTCTGTCACGGGCAATGGTAAACAAATCATGTGCAGCATACCAGTCCTTGCACATCGCAGCGTCTTTAGCAGATGTATCTTCCGGCAGTGGAGCATAGTGGTCTTGATCTCCTTGGAATGCGCAAAGCTCAAGCGGAGTGTGCCACCAGTCGATCGGTCTGACTTTGCGTGATGCGACGAGGCTTCTGGGCAACACAAGCGCGGAGGTCCAGGCTCAGGCAAGGTGGGAGCTGCACTGAGAATGGCTGTGACGGTGCTAAGGCTCCGTATGAAGCTTCTAGTTTCAAGATCACCGACGCTTGGCGCATCTTGGCGCCTTCGCCTTGATCCCTCCCAGCCTCCGGGAGCCCTCGTCCGAAAACTCTCCAGAGCGTGGACGCTTGTGCTCCTGTGCTCCTTTGCCAGGTGTCCGAGGCCATGCAGCAAGCAAAGGCCAAGGGCGCTGAAGAGGTGGAGGCACCTCGCGACGCTCTCTTCTCCATACTTCGTTGTTGTGCCGCTGCAACAGGCTCAACATGCACACAGTGTTGAGCACCTTCTAGATCCGGCAAAGTTCGACTTGATCGTCCTGCGAGCTTGCGAGAATTGAGCATTCAGCGTGTCCTTTGCTTATTGAGATTTCAGGATGCAGTTCACGACGCGAAAGAGAAGTGGGCCTCGTGCTCAGCTTGCAGCCTCCGGGACAGAAATCTTCGCAAAGCCTGCATGGGCAGGCAAAGTTCAGGGTGCCTGCTGGCCCTCACATGTCGACCGGTGCGAGAAGTGGTAGTTTCGGTTTCCAGCCTCGACAGTGAGGTCGATGAAGCCAGAATCTTGCAGCTGGAGGATGCTGCAAAGATGGAAGAGGCGCGTCTTGGGCAACGGGCCAATGTTGCGCGACTTTCATCGACTTATGCTGCACTGTGTTCTAGCTTATTGGAGCTAAGCTTGCTAGCACGCATCCTAGGTCATGGAATGCTGTCTCCGACACGTCGTTCAGCTGGTCGAACATGTTTGTCGTTCTCTATGCAGTGCCACCCCTGACGAGACGTGTCTTCAGAGGCCGTTCGACACGACCTGGCGAATGTCAAGAGGAAGGTCGAGGTGGGACTTAATCTGAGGGAGGGCCATCCGAACTCGGATCCTTGGGGCCTGAATGTCATGTCGTTCGACTCAGGCACTCAGGTGCTCAGGTGTCGTTTCTGACGCAGACAAGAGCAATGCCATGTCAAACTCTGCCTTACAGCAGGCTTGAGGCGCCGACTCTTCAGAGTGGTTGCCGTTCCTGGCTTTGGGTTCAGTGTGATTTCTAATCTAAGCAAGCCAAGCAGACGTAAGCTGCAGAGACCCGCCAGGTCTCAAGTCTTCAAGCAGCCGGAGCGATATCACTAAGAGCATGGCTGATACTTTCTACCTTTTTCTATGCTCTCCGAATGGAGAGTCAGAGTCAGCTGAGTGAGCCCCATGGCTTCCTCGTGGTCTGCGTGGCCGACGGGGGCAGCCTCCTGGCCGTCCTGGCCTACGCCCAAGGCGCAGGCCGGAGGAGACACCCACAATGCGAAAAGGCTGCTACCCGTACAACCGTACAATAATACCAAACTTCCGTTACAGTACTACTAGAACATGAGAAGGCTGTGATTTCGAGGTTCCTCGCCGATTCCCAAGCCGGGCACAAGCAAGTTTCCCAGGCGCTGGCGCGAGCCGCAGCGAAGGCATCCTCTCAGGTGCCGCGAACCCCATCCAGACTTCGGGCGAACGAGGTGCCCGAAGAAACCCTGGGGAGGCATCTGCAACCGCTCTGTGTTTCCTCGTCTAGGCCCCCAATCGGCGTGCAGATGACGTGGAGCCGGCGCGGCCTCCAACGCTGCCGAAGTATTTGGGCAGCAGATGTGAGCAGTTTTAGAACTGACGTTGCCGCTGTAGATCTCACACATTGAGACAATGCAGTGAAGTGTTAAGCTCAGTAGCCACCTGGGCTAGCAGCACCCTGCAGATCCGCAGGGTAGTCTTGGAATTGCCGCCTTTGCAGCTCCGCATGATCACCAAGTACAGAGACTTACAGAGATAAGCTGCATGCCACCACATGTTTCGGAAGCGAGAGCTGAGGCCGCAGCCTGCACAACGAGTTGCTCAAAAGGCCACGGCCTGTCACACAGGTTTTCAATGCCGGGCCGGGAGGCATTTGCATCGCCTTCTGAAGGAGCAATCGCAACTTGTGCACCAGCCGGCGCTGCCACGGAAGGCGCCCTGGCAGCCTGGAGAGTCATCCCCTTCCCTCTTTAAAAACATGCACGCCGAATTGGAACTCTTCCGTTTGCTTTGAGGTCCGACCTCCAGTGTCGACGGGCCCGCGACCGGTTCTGAAGCCCCAGCGAGGGGAGGCCTCCTTGAAGCACTGAGCCAGAAGTCATATTCCCCAACACCTCCCCCCATGCGAATCTCCGTCCCTGCACGTTATCCTCGGCAGCATCTATCATCTGATCTCTTATCCTCCAGCAATAAAGTCGCGCGTCCACGCTCACAAGGTGCAGGTGCAGCCCGCACCCACAAGCCCGCGATGTCACATCTGCAGCTACTTCTAGCCAATTGCCAGTGCAGATTGCACGGCGCGAAGCCCTTAAACAAAGCAGTGCCAGATTTCTGCCGCCCCGGTGCTTGATCCGCCATCCGTGGTGGCTGCTTCGCGGATCATGCAGGAGGACCTGTGTGCCTGCGTTTGAGGGTGGCGGGATTTCTGCCGCACGACGTTTCTACCAGTCAATCGCAGCGAATCAAAGGTATATACGGCCCCCTAGCCTCCCAGGTAGTGCTAGGGAGATCTCTTGAAGAGGACCCTTAATCCTACCTCCTATAGCCGGAGGCCTACAACTCGGACACGGACAGGGGGGAGACCTCCGGCGAGGACGGGCTTGCAGACGTTCTGTGCTTCGACTTTGGGTCTTCAACACTTGGCATTCATTCTGAGAGCTTTTGGGGAAACTCTCTCGTTTCAGCCTGTCTGCTTTAATTGTGTGCAGGGCACCGTGCAGCTACGGATCCCTTCTCCTGGCCTGCAGTAGCTTTTCGGTAGGTCCCAACGCTTCTCTGAGGACGACGACATCCTGCGATGGTCCCCGCCCTCCGTAGGCCTGCCATCTTTCAATGTCGGCCTTGCGTTGTGGATAGCCGGACAGGAGGCCCACCGTCTTGGCATCTTGCAATCCTGTCAGGCTCCTGGGAAAGCGACGATGAACGCACCTCTTCAGCATCGCAGAAGGATCAGACAATTTTCTGGATGAACCTTCATTGCATGATTGCTCGAGAAGTCCAGCGAGGCCCTGGCTTCCTGGAGGCTGCGTGGCAACTCGTGTCCGCGGGCTCAGATCTGGCATTCTTTGTCGTCGTTCTGCCCGCTTGCTCTAGTTTGCAGCTTTCCTTTGGGCTTGCGGGGTTGTCCTGTCGGTCCTTTGTCGATGTTTTGCATGGAATCCATCAAGTTTCTCTTCGCTTGAGTTGGTTGAAGGCTTCCCTACCCTTTGGAGTAGATGATAAATGACAGCACAGGAGAACACAGCTTGTTGTCGCAACAGTGAGCAAGAAGGTGGGCTCAAGCTTCCAGCCTCCCCCGCCAACATCTGCCAAACACCTTTGGCCCAACAGCTTTACTGGCAGAAATGATCTTGCTGCGAAGGCATGCAGAGTTCCACTGGACTTGCCAGCACATCAAATGGCCCCCCAATAATGAAGCTGATGAGATGACATGGCGTTGGTGCGTCTTTGTCCAAGCATTCGTCTCCGCCAGATAACCGCGCCTGGTTTCAGGGAACCTTCGCATCGCGCTCGTGGAACGAATGCTACAACAGCTCAACAGCCTTCAAATCTGCAGCGCAGCTCGTGGTATGCAAGGCGGAGGAGCGCTGGCCCAAACAGCGCAGCCGCAAAGCGCACTGTGGAATCGATTCCATGAAATCCAGCAGCCCAGCACGTCCAAAGAGTCTCGAGGTTCCTGGAGGTTCAACCGGTTTCTTTTCGCCAAAAGGGTCAGCCGCCGAAGGTCAAGTGCGGCAGCGCAGCTGACGCCACCCACACTCGACCGTGGCTTCCTCAAGGGGATGCATCGTTCATTGTTCTACTGCATTAGATCGGGCTATATTCTATACAGCTCTATGTCATTTTATTCTGTTGAATGTGGTTTACTTAGCACTATATTGCAGTATTGGTTGTCCATGGCTTTTGCGAGTCATGCTGCAGTGCTCTGAACCTCCAAGGCTTCTGCATGAAGGTAGAATGCCATCAGCCTCTTGGCAGTTGAGGGATTGATCTCGTAATTCTGACAAAATGCCAAAACACCGTGAGTTCAGTACGTTTGGGAGCTTTCCGGTGCCTCGTGGGGTAAGATGCACCTGCTTTGTGTCTATTGCTCAGGCCTTAAGTCTTTAGGCGTGTCACATGTCAGTGAGTTTTGGAAAAGGGCAATCACTCATTTCGCAAGGATGCTCCCGCAGAGCCTTTGCTGCACCCCGCTGCTGAAAGCACCAGATGAGGTGCTACGAAGTGACTAAGCGAGTGTGCTTTTCATCGTGATGAATCCACTTAACACATTCTCAATGACGCACGCAGGCACACTACCGACCTGTCCCGCCACCGCTGAGTTCTGGGCCGAAGATGCCATCAGCGCAGCAAAAAGCAGCGAGTGACCATCGACGGTTCATGCTTGGGACTTTTCTCAGCTGGGATCTCTGAGCTTTGCGGGGCCGCGGGTTGCATTCCCTGCAGGCTGTGCGCAGTACCCAGATCCAGGCGCTTCAAGGCTCCTTGGCTTTTGGAGTCAAAGAGTGGAGTCGGTTTTGGACATGATTCGTCCCACGACCGAGGCATGGCTGACGATGTGAAGGCCTGCCGTCCACCGGCTTCTGCTATCGAACACCACATCTCTGCGGCTTTTTTTTCGGGTTTAGGCGAGGGCATAATCTGAGCATAGGACTCCGTAGGCCGAGACTGCAAGGAGGTCACCACAGGTAGCAGCAAGAGCTCACGGCTTTCAGACACTGCGGGCCTTAGTGAAGCCCCTCCTCGATAGGCGGCCATGGCCAACATCACTGAGACCGCTTTGGAGGCTGCAGTGGACACCACCAGGCTCGCTTTGGGCATTCGGTTTGTGATGCCAAGCCTTCTCGGTTGTGTGCAAAGGTGGGCTTCAGTCATGTGACAGCTTGAATCCTCAGGGCAACAGCACACAAAGAAGTGATTTTCCATAAGGGTCGTGATAAAGGGTCGTGACATGGGGTTTTGTAAGTGTGTGCAGTGCTTGACACTGGGTCGAACTCTTGCTATGCTTCGTGTTGTTTCTCACTCTCTCTCACTCTGTCTCTCTTTCTCTGTCTTCGCTCTCTGGCTCTCCTGCACATGCCTTGGCGGTGTATTCATGGCAGGAAAAGAGATGTCCACACCAGACATAGACTGTGGACATCGTCCAGTCATGCATGAACGTGCTTTAGGGAAGAGCAAGAATCCCCAAGAAGCTTTACAGCAAGCAGAAACAAGAGAAGTCGGGCACGGAAGGAGAGAGGGCCAGCAGTACCAGCACGAGGCCCGGCTCGTCAATGGCAATGCTCCTTAGTTCGTTGGGGTTCCATATCGGAGGTGATACTGCCAGCAACCACTGTAGATTTTATGTGATCATGACGCGAGGGCGGAGGCCACGAGCAGTCAGTTGATGTCAAGCGTATCGACAGTTCCAAAAACAAGGCAGTGATGAGACTTTGGTTGGTCCAATTGTGTTTGCTCCGCGGGTTTGGGCTGTGTCTCCGGGTTCCTGCGCGAGGCCTCTTCTTTAAATCGTCGCCAGGTGTTGAGTCCGGCCCTGCAGAAGATTCAGCACGAGGAGGCATCCTGTTGCTCTGCAAACTCTGCGGCATCCTTGAGAAAGGAAACATGGGCTGCTTCGCAAGGACCATGATAAGCTTTCATGTTCTGACCGGTGGAAGCCCACATCTGCTCTTTCACTGCGTGACCAGACTCTCAGTCCTTGTGACCTCGCACCACACAAGGGCTCCATCGAGCATCTGCAGAGCGATGCTGTGCGGCACCTGCAGGCACCTCGCAGGGGTGTCGTAGACACCTTGAGCCTATGAGTTTATGGCCATTGCCTGTCAACTGCCATTTTTTGAGTCAGTGCAGCTCCGGCAGCCGTAGCTCAGCTTAGTATTTGGAGCGTGGCCGCGAAACTGAAACGGAGCTCCGTCAAGCCGGGTCTCAGCCTTGGCCCATGACTTTGCAAAGCTTGCTGGGATGGTCACGAAAGGGATAGAGGCCAACCTCACGATTCAGTGCGTGGCATTGTGTTCATGTTGTGCACAGCCTGATATGCTCTCCTGTATCCAGTCCTCTCGAGCAGACCATATAAGGCCCGTGCCTTAGTTTTATTAGGACTACCATTATAACATATATTCTAAAACAGCATGATCTGTTCAAGTGATTATAGTGCTCTAGCGTCATCATCATGCTTACTGTTACGGTGATTGGTATCGCTATTGTCGTGTTGTTGTTGGCATTGTCCTTGTTGCCGTTGCCCTTGCCGCAGCTGTTGTTACCGTGTTGCTGGTGTTGATGTTGTTGCTGCTGTTGCTGCTGCTGCTGCTGGTGCGGTGCTGATGGCACTGGTGGCACTGGTGGCACTGGTGGTGCTGCGGGTGCTGGTGGTGCTGGTGGTGCTGGTGGTGCTGGTGGTCCTGGTGCTGGTGGTGCTGGTGGTGCTGGGGGTGCTGGTGATGCTGGTGGTGCTGGTGGTTCTGGTGGTGCTGGTGGTTGTTGTTGTTAGTGGTGGTGGTGTTAGTTTCAGTAGCTTTATTGTATTAGAATTCGTGTGATTTTTCGAAATAGTATGAGTGTTACTCATAGGTACTCGCGTAAGTGTCAGTAGCAGCAACATCTACATCATCAGCATCAGTACTTGTAGTGGCATCGGTTTTCGTATTGGTACGCGTGTCATTCCGCATTGCCGTGACAACTGGGATTTTCACTATTGTTGCTGTTGATATGACTATGATTATGACTGTGAACATCACCACCACCATCATCATCATCATCATTATCATCATCATTATCATCATCATCAGTCTCGCAGTCATTCTGATTGTGACTTTCACTCGTCTTGTCTTGTTTCATTGTTAATCTTCACTAGTATCTACGACTGCTTCATATGGCTTCCGGCCCGGCGAGGCTGCTCAAGGGCACGCGAAGCGGCTCGGAGCTGCCGCGGCGGTCGCTCAGGGAGTTGTGTCTCGTGGTGGCACATTCGCGGGTTTCAGAAGTCTCTGTTTTGATGGTCAGAGGAGATCCCGGAAGTCTAAGCTCTTTGCTGTTTCGTTTCCATGAATGCCGCGAAGAGGCGACAGCGATGCTTTTGCTTAAGTTCGTGTTGCACTGTCGTGTTGCACAGGGCTTCCTACTGGCTCATGCAGCTCCCACATGACTGACCCGCATTCCATTCGAACACCAGGCAGAATTTCACGACGTCTCCGGAGGCAGCATTTTGCATTGAGGGATGCCAGGGGGGTCGCGAGAACCTTTGCAAGCATTCTGCACCTTCTGTATCCTAAAGCTGTTCATACGCAAATTCTTGCAGGACATCGCGGCCGGCTTGCGAGAGAACGTTCTGAAATCGATGGCTAAGGCCGCAACGCAAGTGGTATACAGCTGCGATTTAAAGGGGCCCGAGGGGGGGGTGGGTGGCGCTTGGGAACTGAAGTCGTACTACTTGCGCCACGCCCCATCACTCTAAAGCCCTCACTATCAACAACACCCAGGAGCCCGCGGTCCGAAGACCTTAGGCCTCCAGCCAAGGAGTGTCGCCCTGGATCGACATCACCAACCATAACTTCTCAACCTTCAAGTCTAGCAGGACCCGGGAAATTTGTAAAGCCACCAAAGCTGCGGATTGAACCGAACCTACTCGCATCATGACTTGGTGTACCTTGCTAGAGACCGCCACTCAGCTCGCTCCATGTGCCTCTTCAGTGATCCCTTCTCTTCTATGAGCTGCGAAACCACCTGCTCCAGTCGCGCAGTCCGCTCATTCTTCGGCAACAGCTCCGGAGCGTCGTCGTCCAGCTGTTCCAAGCCATCCTCCGCAACATCAGGTTGCAACCCAGTCACCGCACCGGCCTTCTCTTCCGGGGGTCTCGGAGCTACTGCCGGAGTCGAACCATCACCAGACCCAGCCAAAGCCTCTCCAGCAGTAAAACCCTAAAACCCTATACCCTTGTATTCAAAAATGCCCTAGCCCTAAACCTTCTAACAAAGCTCTACATCCTACATTCAAATTCTTTTCCTAAACCCTGAACCGTAAACCCGAAAACCCGAAAGCTTAAATCCTACATTTAGTTTTTTCTTTTCCTAGCCAGGCGAGAAGTGCCAAGGCGAGCGCCGAGTCCACACTGGCATTAGCAAAGGAGGCGTCGGGGCTCCGACAGTTTCGGCTTTGCCTGAAGCTTGCGGTGTCGATGCTCTGGGGTTAATGTAGGAACCTGATTTCGGAACCTTGGGCCTTTATTTTGGCTCCTTATATGAATCCTACTATTTTGGGGTTATAGGCCCGGGGTTTCTTAATCAGGTTCCCAGTTCAGTATCGGGGCCTGGGGCTCTCGGATGTGGGGTCTGATCCGAGGGGTCTGGTCCGAAGGTAGTTTGTGGGGAGATGTACGCATTTCTCAGTGAACTTCCAGGTGCAGCTTCACATCTGAGGAAATTCAAGGACCTCTAACTGAATCCGAGCCTCTGGAATCCCAAACCCTGTAATTGCCCGAAGTTCTGGACAGGGCGGCTGCGCCTAGACAGTGCATGGCGGTCGTAAGAGAAGTTCTAGACTTCGAGGCCTCGGATGCCGCCGACGCTGTCCTCGTCGAGGCGAACGCTTCCGAGGCTCGCGCTGCAACGGAAATCGAGCGGCGCGGCGTTGTCTTTTCATCGAAGCAGCCCTTGCCGAGGCAAGTCCTCAGTCTGAATTAGCTTATGACTTGTAGCCCTCCCGTATTCAAGGAATACCCCCTAAACTCTCGTAGGAATCTTGATCAGCTTGAAGGAACCTGCCTGAATTCACGGGGTTTTGGAGTCTCTGGGCCCTCCCCCCCTTACGGCCAGGCCGCAGCACAGACGCTCCTGGATCGCTCCTTGGCCCAGGCCTGGCTCTCGACGGAAACTCGAATGAAAGTGTCTTATATATATATATATATATATATATATATATTATATGTACATATGATTGAATCTCTGCATCTTTGCACGTATCCATGTCCGTGTAGGTGGGTAGGCAGGTACCTAGGCGGAATGATGCAGAATGTATGCATGTCTTGCGTGTCCGTATGTCTATATATCCGTATGTGTCTATATGTATATGTATATGTATATGTATATGTATATGTATATGTATATGTATATGTATATGTATATGTATATGTATATGTATATGTATATATGTATATATGTATATATGTATATATGTATATATGTATATGTATATGTATATGTATATGTATATGTATATGTGTATGTATGTAAATAGTTTTGTATGTACTCATGCATGTAGGTAGGTAGGTATGTATGTATCTCGCATGCTTTGTTCTATCGCCGCACAGAATCTTGGTGGAGGCTTTGCTTTGGGCCTGGGCGTGCGCACCAGAAACTTCCAAGCCTTTCTTCTAAGTTCTCAGGGATTCGTTATTCGCAGCATAAGCTGGGCTACTCGAGCCTATCCCGTCAACGACGCTCGCAAAGACGGACTTTGCAGCGCAGAAGTGCAGTTGAGTATGTACGTATGAATGTATGGTGGGTAGGTATGTGTATGTACGTATGCACGCATGCATGCATGGATGAATATATGTATTCCTGCTTCCTTTGAGAATGGATTCTCAGGTGAAGGCTCATGATAGTTGATAACTCGGACACCGCTGGGCCGTACAGATAGTCGCATTTGCTGGGATGCGAAGTTCTGGCCAAGCTGCCAAAACCGCAACTTGCAAGGAGGAACAGGAAAAGTGTAGCGTAACGCAGTAGTTACAAGTGGTTCCAAGGGGTCCGTATAATCAGGGTCCCACTGTTCATGGTTCTATATTCTTCCCAAGTTTTTCTGAAGCTCCGGCATGCTTGCTGTTCAGGCACTGTTCAGGCCATATGATCATCACCACCATCATCATCATCATCCTCATTACTCAAGCAAATCTGCAAACAGGGAGCCGTCCAGACCAGAAAGTAAAGTCATTTCATGACAGTTTCCCGATTCTGAGCAGGCCAAACAGCTGCAGGAGCTGGATCAGCGCACTGCCGTGGCTGCCAAACAGGTGCTTGCCGGCAGAGAGTTTTCACGTGGTCCCTTTGTTCCAGCCAAAACCACGACCGACCGCTCAAACGGCTGCCTGCACACGTAGTGCTTCAGGTGCAGCGCAGCGCACCCGTTTGCATGCCAGAATCTCCCTGGCGCGAACAGTGAACTGTGTTTTCTTGTGTGCATGGCTCTTCGTCGGATCGTTTTGTAACAGCATTATGAGCCCCGAAAACCTGGGAGACACTCGCAAAGGCGTCCGCGACTGAACTGTTGCGCAAGGCTGGCCATGGTGTCGCAAGGGGGGCTCAGTTCAGCGACGTTCAGAGTTTAGAGTTAATAGAGCAACGATGTGCAATGCGTTACCTGGGAGTTGGCTTTGAGGTCAACGGCATCGTACCGAGGCATCACTTTTCGGGTTCTCTGATGGGGGAACTCATATGTTGAGCACAGACTCTGTGCAAATTAGTCGGTGATGCACCGCCGCAGCGCACGAGCCGTGAATGAACTCATGCTTCCATTTGCACGCACGCGCGCGCACACCCCAGTATGCATACCCCAAACCCCTAGACCTTAAACCCCTCAACCCTAAATCCCTAAACTCCTAAACCTCTAAACCCTAAAGCCCTAAACCGCTCAGCGGACCCCTTTCTCCCAAAGGACCTCTCTCTCCCTCAGCAGGCCGGCCTCTTGGGCTAAGCTGCGCCTTTGTCGAGATCACAGAGAGGCCAGGGCCAGGGTAGCTTTCAGAACGTAGTCGAACAGTATATCGTGCGTTATCTGCTTTATGCTTGTTTGCTACAGGTTGTATTCTGTAGTAGTACAGAATATAGAACATACACTTCTATTCATCTTCCTTCACATGCTTGCTATAAGGGGCCTTATTGATTGGGGCAGGGTTCCTTTTAAGGGCTCTTTTTGACGGGTCCCATAGGGTATTCAGGGTTTCTGTCAGGGGTAAGCTATCATAACAGGGAGCTATGGAGATCCATAGTATAACTTAAACTCATTCTTGGCATGGGGTTGGAAGCTCGAGAAGTCTTGAGGAAGCGGTGTCTTTCCGAGTCCGTCTGGGTTTCTGGCCACTGACTTTGACTGTGCCCTTCGCCTGTGAGGTGTTGGCAGCCGCCTGACGGATGAGCCCGACCTAGACTGTGATGCTGTGGCTGAAAGACAGGCATAGAGCAAGTCACGACCCTTTCCGACAGTGAGAAGTGTTGTGTTCCTCGTAATCGAAATTGAGGTGCCCTCCCCTGCACTCGCGCACTCTAGACTCTTGTGATGATTGAACATATAACTGGGTTGAACTTGCAACAAGACGCTTCGTCTCCAGACCAGGATGAGACCCGTGCCACAATTGTGCGTTGCATGTCTGACGGCCAAAGCTTGGCTTTTCGGAACTTGTGTTCATGTCGTCGTGAGTTTGACAAGCTCCGTGAAGCTTCGCAGCCGAATTTCCTGCGGATTGATGTTCTGCTCCGCAGCTTCTCCAAATGCCCGGCTGGGTGGCGCCCAGGGCATGGAGGGTTTGCCGATGGCGTCTCCGCATCCTGTGAGGCCTCCTTGCACGGGCAAGGTCAGAGACCAGAGCTGCATCTTGCAAAGTTTTGACGGTTGGCTTTGGTCGGCTCTGCAAACGAAAGAGGCCACTTGGACGCAGTAACAAAGAGGGAGTAGCCCGAAGACGAGACTACCAAACCTGACGGCTTGATTCAGCATGACCAAACTCCACACGAAATCCATGTTCACGATGCTACGATGCCCCTAAAAACCGATGGTTTTCGGTGTTCTGCGCACCTGAAGAGCCGCTCAGCGCAGGCGCTTCTGACCAGAATGAAGATGGTCCCAGCCTTGGGCGCTCTGATCTTCGGCTCCGGAGCCGGGCATCGGAGTTAGGAGGGGGCTCGTGTCGGCTGGTTCAGGCTCTGCTGCCCGAAAATTCCTAATTGAGGTGTCCCGTCTACTGCTGCTCACCGCTGCCCTTGCGGAGCTGGTCCCTGCGGTGGCTGCCAGGCCCCTTTTTGACTCGGACTCCTCACACCCTGGACCCAAACCCCTAAACCCCGAAACCCCGAAACCCTAAACCCTTAACCCTGGACTACCTGAAATTTGCACCCTTATGATAAAGCTAATCAACATTGTTAGATACATATATATATATATATATATATGTATGTATGTATGTATGTATGTATATATATATGTATGTACATATTTGTTTTTTGCATGAGCCCTAATCCCCAAATCTCAACACTTCTGCGAATCTCTGCCTGGGAGGCGTCGCTCGGAGGCCCCGGCAACAAAGGCCCTGGAGCTCCTCGAGAAGCTGTCCGGGCCTTAGTGAAAGTATACGGGATCCTTAAAAGGGTTCTTTAAGGATTCTATAAGGGATCCTTAAAGGGTTCTATAAGAGATTCTTAAAGGGTTCTGTGAGGAGTATAAATATATGTAAGACGTGTATGTACAAGTGATCCTTAAAGGGTTCGATAAGGGATCTAAAGCAATTTAGGGTCAACTAGGTTCCTGAGTAGTACCCTTTTGCCATTTGTATATTAGGGGTCCACATAGTACGACCGAATAGTAGATAAAAGGGCACCCTGATTATAAAAGGCTACTCAGGAACCTAGGAAAGGTTCAGGGGGCTCAGTCTTTGACGGTTCGTTTAAGAGGTCTTCAAGGGTGTCATCATAATTGTATAGTTAGTGTCTTCTCGATGCTTGGACTTGGTAATTTTAACGCTACGCCGCCCGCCTCGGCTGTTTAGCGGCAGGGCGAGGGGGTCAACCCCAACCTTTACACGGTTGTTGATACCCGATGGGGGGGGAGGGGGGGAGGGGAGGGGGGGGCGGAGGGGGAGGGGGGTGGGGAAGGGGGAGGGGCCCTGGGAGGGGGGAGGCCGACAAATCAGGTAAAATGAAGGGAAGCAAGGACTGCAGGGAGGAGGATTAGGTGGAGGTACCTGAGGTAACCAGCAAGACGCCTGGGCCTGTGGCCTCGGCGGATTTTAGGGGAAGACTAGGGTAAGCGTGCTTACAACTTCTAATAACTCCAAGTGGGGTACCTGTAGCCTTACGAAGTGCGAAGGGCTTGACACGTACTACTAGTATTGCTGGAAACACCCATGTCTCATCCCGTAGAAGCAATCGTGCTGCCCGCCCGCAGGTGGAGCCAAGGTCAAGCAGAACTGAACGACGAAGCGCTCAGGTGGCATGGCGAAAAGAGGTGATGGTGACTGGGGGTCTTTGATCAGGCCTGGCAGCATATAAGGTGTCGGTCTTCGTGGTATCTGTCGTGGGCCGAATAGCCCAGTCTCCAATCTCAGACGGCATCAGTCCGGATTACCTTGCTTCCTGCGACGGACCCAATAATAAAATGGAATAGGTTATCACACAGCAGAAATTACAGAATGTACTCTACTAGTTACTAGTAGATATTATCATGTAATTGACGATAATATGCGGTACTTTACTATACAATACTGTACTATTACATAGCACACTCTACATGTCAGGTTTGAAAAGCTGAAGCAGTGGTGCGCTGACACGGCCGCCTCCAAGAAGCTTCTCGGAGCTGTCTATGCGGTTTCAGAACCTAGCTGTCTGTAATAGCCGTACCAATAAAGGCAGTAATAGCAACAGCAATAACAGCAATCGCGGCACTAGTGACAGTAGTGCTAACTGTAATCACTGCAGCAAGAGTGGTGGTAGCAGCAAGATGAAAGCCATAAGTGTGTCAACGGGAAGTTGTGCTGGATTAGACCCAGGCCTAAAGCCCCGGACCCCACGGAATTCCCAGCGCGAGCCCTGTGAATTCTGAGGAGCGAGATCCAGGATGGTGAGGAGAAGGAGGCTGGGAGAATTTTTGGGACTGTACTATATTACCATGTTGTATAGTACTATACAACAGTATAAGGTGTCGTAGTCTTATCTGCTTTTACATGAGACCATATATTGTTATTTGATATGGTATGATCTAGGATTATATTCCATGGTATTCTTTGATATGCTATGCTGGCCTATGATATTCTATGATAGTCTTTCATATTTCATGATCTTTCAGTATTATCTTATCCTATGTTGTTCCATATCATGAGTCTCCTTGGCCCGGAACTTCCAGGTCGCCATAAGGTTTGTTCCATGAAGCCCCACCGTCGGCCCAATCCAGCCAGCATGTTTAGTGCTTCGTCAGGAGCGCACCAGCGCGGTAGTGGAGAGCGCGGAAGCAGCTGTTGCCGCGGTGCAGGAGGAGAGCCAAGTCCGGCCTTGGGATGATTAATGTAGGGCCTCAATAATTAGAATAGGGCTTCGGTGGTTCCTTATGATCTTTGTAGTATATATAGTGTACCCCCAAGCCTATTCTAATTACTGAGGCCCTTGGTTTTAAGCCTGTCATGTTCTAATGGGAGCAGATCGCTTGGAGGACATCGAGGAGCTCGTTGCAAAAGCCGGCAAGCTTGATGAGAAGAGGTTCGGAGTTTGGAATTGCAGGGACGGTTTGTCGGATTTCAAGATATCTGCCAATGGTTTGGCCTGCAAGCTCCCTGTGGATCTGAGGCATTCTAACATTTCGATCAGTTAGTTGGATGTACGGAACATTCAAAAAACGCTTTGTGGTCGTGCCTGCTGCGGATCTACGGATGCACGTCGTTGCTGGGTTTGAAACGTTGGTGTGTGGGAAGTGTTGAATTGGTCAGAGTCTTGTAGTGTACAGGGCCCGGTTGACTGTCAAGTTCTGGCAAGCTTGATTCAACAATTACCCAGACTTGTCGGGCCTGGGGCAGATATCACGATGCCGGAGGCAATTTCGAGGTCTCTGTATATCATCTTCTTGGGCGAGTCCAGCCTGAGCTCTGTTTGACTGCCCTATGAAGGTCTCATACCGAGAAGCGCCGGCAAGACGAGGCTGGGTCGTCCGGTCGTCACTCGGAGGCCTCACGGACAGAGATCGGGGATGCGGCGTTTCTTCGGCTGCCGCTGTTCCGGGGTTGGTCCAGTGTCTGAGACAGGCAGGACCTCAGGCAGGACCGTACAGTCTCCAAACGCTGTGCGCCAGTCCTCCACATACATCACCTCAGACGAGGAGCTGCAGCCCGTCTGGCAAAGCGAAGATTCCTACGTTTGAGGGTTGAGGGATGCTTGGTGCAACGTGAGCGAGGCCCCGTGAGGCAGCTTGCACCCAATTTACGCAGTGAATCGTTGACTTATGTTGTGCCATGCTCTATGCTCCCGCACTCACTGGCGTGCCGAGGCAAAAATCGATCCGCGCGGTGCAGCGCGCGAGCTTCCTGCTTCGAGAGAAGAACGATGCGGAGTCCAAGGTGCATGCATGACACCTAGCTAAACGCAGAATGGGTGCATCGAGAGCATCACGACCACCGGCAGGGAGGCTTTGCACCAATTCGTACGCGTGCATCACAAGCTTAACTAGAATGGAGGCGAGATTTTTCAACGGGAGGGAGCAGTGCGAGCCTCACAAGGCAGAGAGCTCTAATGATGCAGCAAGAGCGAGCACCATGAGCATGGGAAAGAAGGGACTGAGAGTGAGCATCACGACCACCGGCAGGGAGCCTTTCAACCAGGAGATGCCAAGGAACCGGCATCATCAGCATCAGAAGTCATACGGGTTCGTCGTGCATGCGAGCAATCCAGAACGAGCAACACGAGCATCAATAGTCAGACTTTAATCAAGAGCGAGAAGAATGATAAGCAGAGACAACATGTGCTTCCAAGTTGGCAGCGAGAACGAGCATCGTGAAGCTCAGAAGGGGATTTTTTGTTCAACTCGCAACGACATAAACCTCATGAGCATGAGCAAACCGTCGTTAATCACTAGCGATAGATGCAATGAGCTCGACAGCATCACGAGCATGAGCCCGGACCGGAAAGTTTTTAGTCAGCTGGGTGAGAGCGAGCGTCGTGACCATCAGCAGGGAGCCGTGAATCAACCTGGGCAAAGAGAACCAACATCACGCGCATCACCTGGCAGACTTTTCAATCCGCCGGGCAGCAAGAGCGAGCTCAGGAGGTAGATTGTGAAGTAATCGGGCAGAGGGGAGAGCAAGCATCACGAGCATCAGGACGTAGATTTCTCGATCAGCAAGGAAGCGATAGCGAGCATCATGAGCATCAGAAGGGAGCTTGGAAAGCAGTCGGGCAAGGGGAGCGAGCATCACGGGCATCAGCAGGCAGGCTATTCAATCAACTATGCAGTGAAAGCTACCGTCATGCACATCAGAAGGGATTGCGAAAAGTTGACCGTCGAGATCCAGTGTCATGAGCATCAGCATGCAGACGTGTCTAGGCAGCGAGCATGATGGCCATCAGCAGGCAGACTTGTCAATCATGTATGCTGTGAGAGCGAGCATCATGAGCATCAGGGGGAGATTGCGAAGCAGGTGGGCAAAGAGAGCGAGCATCTTGGGCATCAGCAGGGAGGCTTTTAGATCAGCCAGGCAGCGAGAGTGAGCACCATGAGCATCAGAAGGGACACCATGAAGCAAGTGACCATCATGAGCAAGAGAATGGGGACTGAAGGAATGGGGCAGAGAGAGCAAGCATCACGAGCAGCGACACGCAGACATATTAATGTTTCAGGAAGCGACAGCGAGCATCACGAGCATCAGGAGGGAGATTGTGAAACAGTCGGGCAGAGAGAGCGAGCGTTCTGAGCATCAGGAGGTAGATTTTGAAGTAATTGGGGCAGAGAGAGCAAGCATCACGAGCATCAGCATGTAGACTCATGCTTCAGCCAGGAAGCGATAGCGAGCATCATGAGCATCAGAAGGGAGATTGTGAAGCAGTCGGGCAGTGAGAGCGAGCATCACGGGCATCAGCACGGAGGCAATTCAATCAGGCATTGCAAGCGACCGTCATGCGCACCAGAAGGGAGATTGTGAAGAGCCGGGCAGAGTGAGCGAGCCTTATGTGCATGAGCACGGACTTCAGCAACCGGAAAGCGGAGCGAACATCAGCGCGGAGCGATGCGATCGAGCATCACGAGCATCAGAAGGGAACCTTCCTGGGGCAGCGGGAGCCAGCTTCAAGAGCATCAGAAGGAGAGCAGAGGAAGCGTCATGAGTATCAGGAGGGCAATTCTTAATGCATGGGAAGGCAAGAGGGAGCAAACACGAGCAGCAGATGTCAGCAGCAGGGATTCCTGTCCCAACGGCAGGCAGCGAGAGCCGGCATCGGAAAGGAAATTAAGCATCATGAAAATCGGATGAAGACAGTGCACGTGTACACATTGAGTAGTGAGGGCAAGCATCATGAACGTCAGAAGGAAACTTTCAATCAACGTGGCAGCAAAAGCGTTATCAAAAGTATGAGAAGGGCGACTTGCAAGCATAGGAACGAGAGCACATCATCAACAGCAGAAGGGCACTTTCAACCAATGAAAAATCCAGAGTGAGAAAGACGAGCATGAGAAGGGAGACATTCAATCAAAGGAGCTGCGAGAGCAAACATCACAAGCATCAGAAGGGAGGCGTTTATCTTCCAGCCAGTGCCAATCCGCGAGTGCGCATTACGAGCGTCAGAAGGCGGCACTTGAGCAGAGCCTTTGGCAGACGATGCTTTGCCGCTATTGCTCTTTGTTTTGATTCGAGCATGTCCGAGTCTGCCGACGCATCGTGTCTGAAAGGCCGCTGCTGCCTCTGAGCTGCAGACAGCGCCGCGCGACACAGCGCTGGCTGCGCTGCAGGCCGGGCTGTTCTGGGGTTCATGATCGTGAATAATTTGAACTCCGATTTGTTTTTTCTGTGGCCTTGGGCTGAAACAAACCTGGATGATCCCACAGCTCTAGGTCGAGGATCCCGGTTTTGCCGCCTCGAGCATTCTGGAGATGCTGACGCCGCATGGCAGAGTGATCAGGGCTCATCCAGGAATGCAGGAGGACATAAGCTTCAGAACTGCGGCACCTTTGGTGGTCGTGCCCGTGCTGAGGACGTTTGGTTGTTTAGGCTTCGTGACACAAGTCGGACGGCCCTTCTCGTCGGTTTAGACGGATGATGAGTGCAATGCATATCTGCAAAATCAAAGCTTGAAGCTTCTTCATGGGATTTTAACAGCGAAAGTCTTGCTGGATTGTATAAAATCTTGTTTCCTTCGCGATGTACGAGAGAAAAGAAGCACCTACACGTGTTGCTGGCATGCCTGTATGCGTGCATGCATCCTGAATGCATGTGGGTGGTTGTCAAAATCAGGGTCCCCTTCTGGGTAGCTTAAATAATAGGTGCCGTATTATAATAGGGACCCCAAAAGGACCATGATTTTGACAACCGCCCATGTATGTCTGTAACTACATAGTAGAGTATAGGTTAGCAAGGGTAAATATGACATAGTACGACATAGTACAACAAGGTGCAATATAGCATAGTACAGTACAGTATACTATTGCGTGTGAGTTTGTGTGTGTGTGTGTGGGGTTATGTTCACCTCTATTTATGCCTACACCTCCCGTGCGCGTCTACAAAAAACGCACAACTTACGAATCAAGCAAACAAACAGAAACAAGCAAGCAAACAAGCATAGGGCTAGGCTCAAAGGTCGGTATAGGCGGTATAGGTATCGGTATCGATATCGCCAGGCACAGGTATTGTTTGCTATAGGTAGAAGTTATGTGTATAGGTGCAGATCTAGATTTCAACCTAGATACAGACACAGGTTTAGACATAGACATATAGATATAGACGTAGAGCTAGACATCATAGATATAGACATAGGCATGCATATAGGTATAAGGTATGTATGTATATATATATATATATAATATAGCTCGCCCCCCCCCCATGATCCACCGTGGGTGGTCTGGGGAGTGGCGGCGTTATGCAAAGTGCCCATCGAAATGGAGCTAGAGAGTAGGGGTTTTGCAGTTGCGGGGAAGGGTTAATTTTTTAGGAGCCTTTTCGTGCGATGTCTCTAGAGCCGTTGTCTAGACGTCCTGGGCGCAAAAAATTGCCACAAGAGTATTTGGAAAAATACAGCTGTACGGAAACTTTCAGTAAAACCAATGGTGGCGCCAGAAAGCTACTTTAGGATTAATATTAATATTAATGTTAGTAATAGTGTCAGTATTAGGATTAGTATTAGTGTTAGTGTTGTTACTGGTATCAGCTGCTATTTAAACAATACGATCCTAAATAGCTGCTTTTAAAAGTAGTGGGTTTTGAAATAGCTGCTATTAAGATAACATTCGTATTAGTATTAGTATTAGTCTTAGTATTACTATTATTAACACTAATATTAATATTAGTATTGTTCTTAATATTGATATTAGTACTTATAGTAGTATTAGTGCTAAAATTAAAAAGAGTATTAGGATTGGCTGCTATTACAATAATAGTGTTTGAAATAGCTATTAGCTTAATTAATATGAGTTTTAGTCTTAGTATTGATATTAGTATTAGTATTAGCTGCTATTAAAAACAAAGGGGTTTGTTCTAAAGAGCTGCCATCCAAAGCAATAGGATTGTGAAATGCTGTTACTTAGAAATATTAGTATGAATATTAATATTACTATTATTAGGATTAATATGATCATTAGTATTGATATTAGTATTAATATTAGTATAAATTTTAGTA